ACATGAAACATTTCTGGCCGTTCGTCATGCAGAAAAGGATGTCCATCGCACAGATCGTACTATCCCGTTGTTTGCAGGGGAAGACATTCCTCACCCCGATCCGGATTCTCCATTTGCAGAGACCGGCACCAACGTCCACATGGAGCAGATGAAAGACTTGCTCCTCACATATAATGAGTATAACCACGACCTTGGATATGTTCAAGGAATGAGTGACCTTCTAGCCCCAGTTTATGCAGTAATGCAGGACGACGCGGTCGCTTTCTGGGCATTTGTTGGGTATATGGACCGAATGGTACATCACTAGCTTTCCTGGAAATCCTCTTCGCCTGCTCTCACATTTTATTAACGCCATGGTTTGTGCAGGAACGGAATTTTCTACGAGATCAATCAGGGATGCGGTCACAATTGCTCACTCTAGATCAACTCGTCCAATTAATGGACCCCCAACTCTACCTCCATCTTCAATCGGCAGACAGCACCAACTTCTTCTTTTTCTTCCGCATGTTGCTTGTTTGGTACAAACGAGAGTTTGAATGGGTGGATGTTCTAAGGCTGTGGGAAGCCCTCTGGACGGATTACCTGTCAAGCAGCTTCCATCTATTCATTGCATTAGCGATTCTCGAAAAGCATCGAGATGTGATCATGAACCATCTCAAGCATTTTGACGAGATTTTGAAGTACAGTACGTCACGAACACCTTGTTTCTACCTTCCGCCACACTCTCTTCAATACCAATCATATCACGTTGCTAACAAACTTCGCAATATAGTCAACGACCTTTCCAACACTATGGAGTTAATCCCCATTCTCTCCAGGGCAGAAGCCCTGTTCCACCGATTCGAGAAGAAAGTCGAGGCTATCGACAAGAAGAACCATTTTCCCACTCCACCCGTTCGCCGACGAATAGTTACATCACCTAAAAACACAATCCAGTCCCCATCGCAATCACAGTCGCCCTCACCAGGGAACGCTAGCCAGAGCACCTACCGGGACTGCCACCGCAGCCTTAACAGACAAAGAGTTGATGTGGAACGGATAATCACCCCTGAGCTTCGCGGGCTGATGAGCAAGAAGGTAGAAGTTTTGGATCCAGAACAGGTCAGAGAGCATGGTGGGGGCACGAGCCAGAACTAATTTCAATCCTTGCTCTCGTTATTTGTGGCCATTATATCGAATTACCCATCTACCTAAGATACTGCAACCCTCCTCCCTGTCCCCCTCGACCCGAACGCAGTACTTATGATTGCGTCCTTGGAGCTTCATAACAACTTTTGTGAATTATCCCTATTATTCCAATACTCGAAACCATTCCACACCCATATATATGCCAACATGTGTTCACCGATGCAAGCATAATTGTTTATTTCGCGTCCCTGTTACCGTTTGAATCACCCCTCGTGTCCCTCTTCATACATCCTCCCACTTCCTAGCATGACCTTTTCCTCCTTCCGATCTACCTGTCCCGCAATGCTGAATTACCATCATATTCTATGTATCTTAATTTTCTGCTATCAGTATTCGTCATCTGTAGGCTTCTGTACTTGCAGATCGGTGTTTGTTGATCTTTTTTCTTGATTACGCAATGCCTCAAGTCATATTCACCTTGCTAAACCCAATGCGATGAAATGATTGAAATGAATTTATTGCAGGTCCTCATCCCTCGTTCTCCCGCAAAGGACAACGCGAAGCAAACGATATGTGATGCACTGGATAATTTTGGATAAAGCTTTTAATGCTTCTAACCCGCGAGTGTATAAAAATGAGGAAACGAGAAACCAAGGACCAAAGTGTAATAAAGTACGAACGAACGAAGACTGTATTTAATGCTTCCATTGCAAAAATGTCGAAAAACGCCGGATTGTGCATGAGTTAAATGGAGCAGGGTAAAATGTAGAACGTAATTGAGGGCGAGAAGAAAATGAGAGTGAACAGAAAGTAAGAAAAGAAGTAAAGATCGGAACCAAAAGTGAAACCTCGAGAAGCAAGCAAAGTGGTATAGGGAATAAAAAAGGAAATGGGAGAAGGAAAAAGGAGTACGGATACTCGGAAGGGAATCGTCGTCCGAATGAACATACCATCCCTTAATCAATCGGTCAAGTAGTCTTTACGAGAATAAAACCAATCCCAACCATTCATCCGCATCTGCACTCCTACACCTCAAGTCCCAAAACTTGTTTGATTAAAGCCCAAAGAAAAAGAATAAAAAATGAGACTCTTCTGGATCACCTTAAGAGAAGTCCTCATTCCCTCCCTTTACCTAACCACGCGAAGATACACCCGTTTATTCCCACCGCCATCCACCCCGGTATTACTAACACTCCTATGGCCCCCTTCAACCAGATCGCCCGCAGCATCCACCTGCGAAACAACAGGTCGGAAGCGTCTGAGATTCCCATAAGAGCGCTCGGGCCTCAGTGTCACTGAGGTTCGTCGAGCGCGTCCAATGACGTCTTCGACCCACGCCTCGTTCTCGGGGCTAATTGATACTTGTCTGGACTTTGGCTTTGGGCCTGCGAGTCCTAATGGGGTAGAGACGTGGGACCCGTCGCCGCCATAACCTGAAGCAATGCTCATGGATGCGTTGGAGGAGGTGGAGAGTCTGCGGCGAGTAGATGATAGGAAGGAAGAGGGACCGCCGCCGCTGCCACTGTTGGATCCTTGGGAGGCTTTTTCGATGTTGGCTGTTGTTAAGGTTGGGAGTCCTGACGGGGTTGCCATGGATCGACGGGATTTACGGACATTCAGTGAGGAGGGGGGGCGGATGTCGAATGCAGAACCGGGACGGGATATGGGGGTTGACGGGCTGGTGTTCGAGGTTGGAGCAGCATGTTTGCCGTGTGATGAGTGGTTGGGTGATATGTTAGGAGTGGGGATGCCGCGGACCTCGAATTTTCCGTCTGAAACATCTCGCCGGCCGTGATGGAGCACGTACTCTCGAAGGTATTCTCCGAGATCGGCCCATCCACCGCCAACTCGTACCATGACTCGTTCTCCGTCTTCACCGACTGAACGCACAAAGAGTTTGACAGGTGCTGTCTTCCCTCCGCGGTGGAGATGGTAGAGTCTGACAGCAGAGTCATCGTCATTATGTGTGTGGGGTCGTCTCGAGCGGCCAAATGCTGGTGTGAGGGTGAGGGAAGGGGTAGGGGTGTTGCTACGACTAAATGCGGGGGATTGTGACTGCAAAAAATCCCGTTTTGGAGAATTCGAGTACGAACAGTCAGACGCACGAGGGGTGCTTTGGTTGCATTTGGTACTCTCTGGCGTTGATGCTAAATGGATTCGGGCGGGAATTGTTGTAAGGATGGAACTGATCTTTTCCTCTAGGTGATCTTCCGGTGATCTTAGGGTGGTAATAGAAGGTGCAGTTGATGAATTGACAGAAATGGATTTTGAAAGAGGAGCACTGTGAAGAGGGGTTATGATCTTCTTCTGCTTTTGTGAAGAAAGGGAAGCGACTGGACTAAGAAGCTTAGAAAGTCGCTTGCTGGATCTACGTGGGAGACTCGGTGGCGGAGTGGGGGTGGTTGGATAATTGATAGAATTAACTTTGCAGACCGAAACACCCATCGATGGAGAAGGTTCCTCAGCAGTAGATGGAAGGGATTCTGAGGAGGTAGATACACGTGGACCCCAGGGATTATTTGGGCTAAGGCGTAGAGATCTAGTGCTGAGTCGGTGTAAAGACGAGAGACCCAGACTAGATACTGTACGGCGGAGATTTGGCATCGATTTCCGCACATTGGCAGGCCCAATACTAAGCCTATTCGAGACCACGATACTCCGGAGTTCGGCTTTTGGTAAAACTTCAATTGCAGCAGAAGACGCCTGCCGGAGTTCTGACGAATGCGGCTGTTCTTTGAGATCATCCGTGCCATGAGTGACTTGGGAATCTCCATCCATGAACCGCTCCAGAGGTAAACTCATAGTCCGGTACAGAGTAGAACGGGAAGCAGAAGCCAAGTGGTCACTTGACTTGGGTTTTTTCACGCACTCAACGATATTTCCATTGTGGCCATGGGCTCCGGAAGACTTAGATCCATTAGTGAGAAAGCTGCCAGGAGATTCAACCACGATAGGGCTACCATGGGACGTGGCTACTTGAGCATCCCGAATCTCAGGATTAGAGCCATAAGAGAAACCTGACCCAGCAGTTGAGGCAATAGAGATAATGGAATCGCGACGGTGAGATCCGGTGTCCAGTTTTAGGGCGTCCTGTATGCTTTGGATGAATCCGTGAGGACTAATATCAGCTGTCGTGGGCGAAGACGGGGTGGATCGATTAATTGCACTGCAATGGATGGCCCGGAGAGGAAAAGTAGTATTGCGGAACGGTGATTGCGGAGAGGCAGGGCGACTGGGCACAGCCGGTGGAGAAGAACCAGGCAAGGAGATACCGTCATTAATTGTTTTCCCAGGTGAGTTATTTCCCGGTGGGTTTGTGTTGCTATTTTCTTGGGGCACAGGGGACTCCTCAGGGTTCGAACTAGGTTTTTCAGACGTAATTGAAGCACTGGCCCCGGGAAGTGCGTTAGTTGCCTGCCTTCCATGTGATTGGCCAGATGGATCTTGGGGGTCATCGATAGAAGGAGTCTGTCGACTCGTTAAGGGATCAGGGCCAGTAGAAGATGGTGGAGAAGTGATATCTTCATGAATAGAAGAGGTCGCAGGGGTACAAGAAAGAGGGGAAGAAGGTAGAGTTGAAGTGTCGGAGTTACTAGGCAGGGAATTCGGCTCCCCCTCGGTTTTAGCTTCCTTGGGTGACTCCTGAACACTGATTTGGGGTTCATCTTCATCTTGTTCCTTAATGCGAGGTATTGGTGGAGGCTGTGACAGCGAAATATTTATTGATGCCGGAGAGACCTCGTCGTTCAAATCTAGATCGCTCCGACAGGGTGTTTTGGGAGGCTCGGGTTTGACATTGGTTCCGGTAAGGTCGCTCACTATCCGTGAGCTATCCTCCATATTTTCTCGACATTTCTGAAACTGAAGAGACGCTGTGTTTTGGGTAGAAGGTCCACAGCCTGCTTCGTCCGGTTTTTTGATCTCACTTGACTGCATGGAAAATTCTGGCAGAGGGGTGCTTGACCGCCCGAAGTCATTTTCGACTGCCATCTTCTCTGCTTCAAATGCCCAAGTCGCAAAACCAGCTTCGATGGCTTCCATTTCGTCGATCCAGGCATCGGGGAGAGCATCGTCCTGGCCTTCTAGAGAATCTAGGATGCGATCCATTTTACTGCCCACAATTAATACCATGTTTTCCAACTTGTGGCGAGCGGAGTCGAAAAATGTCTTGGAAAAAAAGGGGTCGTCTATTTCGGGTAGCAGACCTGTTCCCAATCGGTCCAGTGCGCCATCAATGGCCCTCTTTGTACTCCCAAGACCAGCCAGTAGCTCGGGGATTTGATGTAGCACGGCGAGGCGAATCTCCCATATATTGAGGAGGGCATTCAACTTTGAAAGATAAGGGAGTGCCTGAAGGATGGTAGCCGTTATTACTGCAGTGAAATCGCTGAGTTGCACATAGCTGAGAGTGTGCATGTTTGTGGACAACGTGCTATTCGAAGAGGATGGTCTGGAGCGAGAGGGGATGTGGGCATTCAGGATGTGTTCTTTCAGTTCCTCGACATCTAACATTTCCATATCTGCCTTTATCTCATCAATCCTGTACTCGTGCTGTTCTACAACAGCTACTGGAAGGCATCCCAAGGATGTGTCCCATTGATCATCAGTACCAGCATCCTCACTCTTTGAGGAGACAAACCCTTTTCCCAGGGACGCATCACGTTTCTGAGGCCACTCCCAAGACAGTACCTCTGTATACCATTGTTTCAAATTCTGTCCGGCCACAGCAGCTCGAACTGCTAAAGAACGCTCAGCGGTCGAAGCATCGGCAATGGCTTTGGAAAGAATCCCCTGAGCGGTCTTTCCTGTTGTCCGCACGGCATCCGTTGCTGATAATGCAGTTAGAGTGGATTCCGGTGAAAGATTGGCAAGCAATGGGTCCGAAACACCGATAAAAGATGACAGGTTTCGGTCTGAAGAGCTGGAACGGGAACGGGATGGATACCGAGGTGGAGATCGGGAAGGTGTTCTTAAACCAGACGAAGGACGGAGGCGGAGAGCAGGAGTCAAAGAAATAAACGGATTTTCAGCCATTTTCAGTAGCTAGAAATAGCATCGCGGTGCCCGCAAGGCCCTTTGAGAGGCAAGGAACTGAAGGCACGACGTGGGAGGGTTTAAGTAAAAGTCAGGATCATCGCGGAGTGCGGTAAGGGTTGGGTTGAGATAAAGAAAATGTCCGGGAAACTCTGTCCCAACATGATGGCACGAAGCTGCTGGATGGCTAAAGAGACATCTGTTTTAGAGATGTCCGGGACAACCTTGGAATCAAGCAAGCCTTTTATTTGAATAGTAAATTTAGATGGCTGACGGGATTATTCGACCGGTAAAATGAGGATGTTTAAACGGGAACGAACGGAGACGGGAAGAGGAGACGCCGTCGGTGGAACAGTCTAACGGGAGGCAAATAGTGGATGAGTTGAAGCTGCAGACAAGAGCAAACCGGTACTCCCAGAGGCTTCAGATCAGGCTGTCAAAATTAGAGGTTGTGGAGAAGGACTACGGCGTCGTTGTTGTCGATGTTGTTGTCGTTGTCGTTGTCGTTGTCATTGTTGGTTGTCGGGAGTCCAAGATGTCATGGCTGAGAGATTTGGGCAAACGGAATTCCCAACTAAGCGGATCACCCAACCGAACGAAATACCAAATCTATTATATATAGAGTAGCCTATTCAATTTAACTCTATCGAATAACAACAAAAAATGTTTCATTGAAAGTTAAACTATGCTAGAATTAGAACATCTTATTCCTGTTTGTTCAATAGTGTTACAGTTATTACATCTCTGTGAGACTCGTAGTTGTTGTTGTTGTTGTGAGACAGACGCTTTAGATTCATATAATTGAATAATCATACTCAACAGATTAAAGAGAGAAATAAGTGTAAGATCTTCTTTATATTGGAATTAATCTTCTGAATCTTGTATATTTTTTACTTCCTTTTATTTCAAATATCAATATCTACATTTTGATATTACTTCTATATAACTGAAGTAATGATCATCTCATATTGTAAATCTTTTTTAGCTCCTCTGAAAAGTGTATAATGTTAATCAAGTAGTTTTACGGCTGTACTTAAATATATATATATATGTATCTATGTATCTATGTATCTATGTTGTCTATGTGTATAACTGGTTATTCTTCCGGCCCAACTTGCACACAAAATCCTTCTTTTGAATTCTTCCTTCTTTCGTTCGTCCTTCCCTAACTAATGAATAGAGGGTGCTAGGATCATGTTCGGTAGCACGCGCATTACATTGCGGATTCATTAGGATAATCACCCCTCGATTAAGGCCCAAGTGCCTTCATTCCACATGCTAGGCCTGAGTGCCTAACAGATATGAGAGGTCGGACCTGTATGTCTGTGAGAAGCAAGACAGTCACTCTGTCTGATATGGACATGAATTATGAACCTCCTCTTGGAGTATTTGCCTTCAGCGAATGCCTCCATTGATAACAGTGCTGATCTTCAAAGACCGATGTAGCATCAAGCTATGCAGATGACTGAGCTGCAGGACTTATTGAATGAATTGAATCCTCTTGCATTTGGTGCATCTACACTCACCTGTGTCATAAGCTGCGAAGAAATGATTCTCCATCTTTGACAAGTATAAGAGTGATATATCTCTCGATTTCTCACCTGGAAATTGAAAGCAATTATTTAAACTCAATGTTGATAATTCTGTGATTGATTCCTTGTCAAATCAAGTGTCATATTTGAAAGTCAATTAGATGAGAATGCTCTTGATCTGAATGAACTTATACTTTAAAAATACTAAGTATCTGAAAATCTTACGTATTAATATAAATATTTTAAAGAAAATAGTTAATTCAATTTTATTAAACTATTTAAATAGTAAATATTAAAATTTTATAATTAAAAAATTAAACTTTATAAAATTTTATTTTAAAGTTGAAGCTAATTTTTTTATATTTAAAGTATTTTATAGCTTATAGTTACTGAAAATTAAAATATTGACTTTTAATATATAACTAATTAAAAATCTTATGTTTTTAAAGCTGGTTAAATAAAATATTTTAAGTATTATATTTTTTTTTTTTATAAATCTTTCAACTATCTAAATAATTATATTAAAAAAAAGTAAAGTTAAATATTTTTAAGTAAAATACTTTATAGTTAAAGTGATTTAATTCAAATATCTAAGCTAGTATATTAGTTAACTGGTTAATGATTATAACTAGCTAATTATTGTTATTAGAAGAAAAAATTTTAAATTATATTCATTGTATATTGTCATGACTCAGTCTAGAGTCAAGATGATAACAAGACGAGGCTTCAATTCACCTATCTAACTAGGTAGCCTGCGACAAGAATGCTAAACTGGGGATTAGAAATGTGGAATGAAAGAGCAACTGAATATGAAGAGGTTGGTGATAGGAGCAGATTAAGTAGCCTATTTCATCAAGTTTTTGTTTTAAATTTTGATTAGAACAATTTTCCAGATCTGAATCTTCTACTCCTTTATCAGTTCGCACTAGTAGTAATTATAAAACTGCTAGACATAAAAGAACAACATGTCTGTAGTTCTGGTGTAAATTAAATTAAATTAAATTATTATTGTTATTGTTATTGTTATTATTATTAATTTATTTTTTGATTATTTGCTCTGTAGGGTCATCCGCCCAGAGGACCGTGAACTCGCTCTCCGCCTCCCTCCTCGGATCGGCACCGAAGCCGGATAAGTTACGTGAATGGATTAACTCCGTTAACTGAGTTGGTTGGCGCGCAGACTGGCCTATCAATGCTGTCCAGCACATCCAAAGTGAGCCGAAAAATGAGGTAGAGAATACGCAGACAGACGTCAGAGGCTAGGATCCGCATGTTGATTGGTATCTATATATATGTCTTTGGGTTTGATATTGTCTATGATGCGGTGGTTGATTCCCATAGGAGCCCTATCAACGGCTAGTTATGCTGTAGTTATTTCTCTAGAAACTACTTATAATCTCTTTTCTCTCCATTCGACTCCCCAGTTCACTAGTTAAACATTTTCTAACGTTAGTTAAATGCTTGTCTTAACCACGGAGGATATCTGCGGATAATACGCGTTGTATTGACTAGAAGCGCAGTCCAGGAAGTGGGGTGTTAACACCCAACATGTTCGAACAGGGCGAGTCTTAGATGTCGTTATATGTCATTTGACAGACTGTATATACAGTATACAATCTTGTGCTCTGTAACAATTTTCATCATCCTTTCCTCAAATAATTAATGGATGGAATCACTTTTCAAAGCCACAAAAATCGACAGATGGGGAAAAACGTAAATATAGTTCCTAAAGCGGGTTTAAATATGCAGGGTGAGTGGTTCAAGGACGCGCCAAACTCGACTAGATAATTTAATTCTTCGGTGCGGAGATCCGCTTTGAATCAGATATATGTCGAGTATATCAAGTCACAAACCAAATACGTACATCTAACGTAATGCCTATTTATTAATTTATACCATTATGTTCAATACATGAATGTACATCTGAAAATGCACTGAACAAGATGCGTTTCAGAAGTCAGCTCATCAATATTAATACTTTTGCCAGTGCATATTATTCCCGAGACGCCCTCTACGTTCAATAAGATGAATCCTAACCTATCTTCGCAGAATTCACCGCGTCTCTATCGTCACTGGGTAAAATATGCTGGGTTCGATTGGAAGATGAGGTTGTCCGTTTCACCATCATCCCCGACCAGGGAACCCAAGTCTGGGCCCAATTGCCAATTGTGCGTGGAACTACCCTATACGGGCATTCTTCTATATATCACCGGCACTCCAAGGGAGAAAAGAAAAAGATAGATCCACAATGAATCAGTGGAGCTTATATATACTATCCTATGCTGCATTATAGGACACGGTCTTTGAATCCTACTCCGTAAGCGCTGCATCAGGCGTTATCAATCTCGAAGTCCCCATCGGTGCTCTCCACCGCGCCCTCCGCTCAGCATCAAGTGCAGCATCAGCACAGCTACGACTAACCAAGAAGGGTTCACTTCCTTTACTGGCGCTGACAATTGTGGCTTCATCATGGATATCGGGAAAGAATGCCCTTGGAGTGGGCGACAACAATAGTACCCACGATAGTAATACTCCTTCCAGTGGGATGCCAGTGGCCCCCCAACACCCAGCCAACATCCAACTAACAGCAGCAACAGCAGCAAACCCAAGCCATACCGACGGCCCCCGCGAACGAGAAACGGTAATAACCCAAGAAATCCCCGTCCGCGTCCTCCCCCCATCGACCGTTGAGGGCCTGCACGAACCCCGCTGCCGCAGTCCAGACGTCCACATCGTGCTCCCCAGCCTCATTCAACTGAAAAGCATATCAGAGCGCTTCACCAAGCTAGCCATGGACTCTGCCGCCAAAAGCATCATCAGTACAACAACTTTTACTTCAACACAAGGAGCCGGGGCTGGTTCCACTGCTTCGAATAGTAGTCCCAAGCTAGAACTATCCGCCAACATGCACGGCTCATTGAAGCTATCTATAGCTACAGATACGCTGCGCATCTCGAGTGTGTGGACCGGACTGCTGAATCCACCGCTGGATCTGGCGCAATTGTCTCAAAGCGAGCTGGAGCAGTTGCCTAGTGAGCGGATGAGGGAGTTGGGCGGGGAGAACGGGGAGGGGGAGGAGGGGTGGGCGAAGGTAAGGATTGATGGGAAAGATTGGGGGAGGGTGTTGAGTGTTGGGCGGTTGAGTCCGAGGGTTGTTGCGTGTAAGCTTATATTTCTTTCCTTCTCCTTTATATATTCCCTTGATAAGGTATATAATGTCAGGGTACTTATCCTGCCCTGTTTCTGTGACACTGCTATTTAATGAGCACCACAGATTGAGCAAATTGTGTTACGGCGGCATGCATATATAGTGACCTTATGTATGACAAATGTATCCCCCAACTATCGAATGCTAATGACCCTTCAATACATTTTTTTTTTTCAAACCTACAGGTTTTATACACGAGACAGCCCTGATTCTCTACGTATATTTACCCGACTGCGGAAGTGGGGAGGACTCATGTTTGACAGTAAGTTTAAATAAAGTCGCGTTCTGTCCTCAATGCATATCATCATTTTAATATTTTCACCTCTCTTCTATAGTATTATATCAACTCCTACGCCGTCTGAACTCGAAAAATTACATATATACCTGATGCCATTTCGTGCGGCAAAACCCGTAACAATCTGCCCAGCTCTGTTTAGGTCTTGCTACATTCTGTTTTACCAATTCGCCTTCATGACTTTGCCTGACGTGGCGATTCAACTTGCCTTGTTTACACCTACCAAATATTGTTGTATGCAGTAAAATGCTGGCTCTTGATAAGGAAGTTGGGGAACATCATATGGAAATAAACCCCTGAGATACCCATCCAAATCAATAATGTTCACATTGTCATCGATTGTCTATACCCGTGACACATGTGCGGACGTCCGTGGATATATCAACCATCATCCCCTCCCTCCACTCACTTTCCCGGTTTCTTTTTCCTTTTAATTGCTGTCTAGCTACATAATACCGAAACTGCAACATGACACAACCAACTAGGATCTAGGTAATCTTCTCCAGGCGACCGTGAAAACGGATCAGTAGATATTAGCTTCAGTTTGGTTGATTGACTATTGGATGCGGTGTACAGAAAGTTGAGAAACGTAAATGAACACCATTGAATGTTTCTACGACGGGGTTTGGAGGTAATAAAAGTAGAAGCAGAACACGAAACTTATCAAAAATTTTAACGGCTTTAATGATCTCGCCAAATTATATGCGATATGTGTGAGGGGTTGAAAGTAATAAAATATATAAGTGGGGGCAAAACGGTAGTATAATACAGAACAAGCCTAGGGCAGGGAATATAAAAATGGAAGGGAAGAAAAGGAAAGAAAAACAACAAATATAAGCCAATTATTTTCTTCCTTCTCACACACGATTATGTAGACGTCAATTACCGAGAATGTGTGGGCCAGGGGACCAAAAACAGCATACAGGAAGCCAAAAGGGAAGAAAGGAAAAGACGACATCCAATCACTATACGGAGGAATTGAGCACAATGTAGCTGCCATGAGGACCGGGAATATTGGGAAGAGTGAGAAAGAAGAAGGAAAATATGAGAACTAATAAAACAAAACTTCCCCTGCTAAGCAGGACAAATTGTAGGCTGAAATGCAAATGGATAGCATTTGGAAACCTCAAAATTGCAAAGCAAATGACGGAGGAGTCCACGAAGTACGCTCGGATGCTGTTGCAAGGGGTAAAAAAAAAGTCGCGCATAGTTTTATCAGCATGAATAAACTAAGAGCGGGACGTTGATGACAGCGCTATATACACCGAAAGGCGATTTTTTCTTTTCTTTCCGGTAGCGTAGGACTCATTCGGTTAGATATATCCATAACGTTCGTTCCCGGATGGCAGAATCGGTTACTTTGCCATAACATCAACGTAGCCTCGGCCCTTCTTCTTTCCCCTAACGGTACTGCCCTTTCTAGCCTGTGGAGCTCCGATAAGATCATCGATGGAGCTTGCATTACTTAAAGCCGTTCCTGGTCTCGTTGGTGGTCCTGCCGAGACAGACAGGGGTGTCAGGTATGGACTTGCTGAGGGTGGCAAGGATGGTGATCCAGGGCTCAAGTTTTGAGGTGACGAGTCCCCAGATGGTGAAAGTGATCCCTTTGATGGATTGGGAGGTGGAGCAAGGCTTGGAGCCGAGGCTGGTGTGGGAATACCAGTTCCAGGAGGAGGGGACGCATTGTTGGCACTTGCAGTCCGGTTGGGTGGAGCTGTCCCCTTGGGTGGCGGCGGCGTAGAGAGAGCAGTTGCAGTGGCGCTACTCGGGTCTTTCTTATTGACCCATCTCTTCAGTTCTTTGTCGTAGTAGAATGAATTCTCTTCACCAAGTTTTGCTCGAATTGGACCTCCCCCGCTAGCATTCGTATCTTTCTTACCCCACCACGTGAACCATCCTTTCTTCTCTGGGACGGGCTTTTTGGCTGTGGAATTAAAGATCTATAGTTAACTATTTATGAATAGATGTTTGGGATGAAGGACGGCTTACCATCTTCCTCTGCAGCCTTTTTAAATGTCTCGTCAGCTTCGCGATCTTTGCGTGTTTTCTCAGCCTTCTTGGCGGCTGCTTCACGAGCGGCCAAATCATCACCATCCTCATCATCCATGAATGATCTCTTTGGTTTTTCCTTGTCTGAGTCTCCATCATCCATGGGCCCAGGCTCATACGTCGGGGGTTCGTAGCCAGTTGTCCCTGTTGGAGGCTCATACCCGGTATTCCGGGCAGCAGCACCACCAAGTCCCTCTCGGGTGGTAGGTTGTTGGTTGAAGTTGGGTTGGTATCCACCAAAGCTACTGGGTTGTTCAAGAGCCTGTTCATCTGAACTTTGAGTGGACTGGATTTCCTCCACCGGGGCTAGGTGAGCGTATGCCGATGGTGGACTATAGACATTTTGTTGCGACAAGGGATTGTAATTAATGTCCGAAATACTACTGCGTTCTTGGGACAGGCCTCGTTGAGAGTAAGATCGACCAGTAGATGGCGGTGATCTCTGCGAGTCAAGAGATGCGCGACCACGGTACTGATCTGGCGATGAATAAGGAGCATACTGATTTCCGGCAGCATAACGAGACGTTGACGCCATTGTAAGAATTGGCTGACCAGCAGCGAAATACGGCCCAAAGGTGTCATTGACAGAAGGCGAACGGCTAACCGGAGGGGTGCCCACCATTTTGGCAAATGGTCCAATGTCTGCGTCTGATGGTTTCCCAGGTGTAGTGGAGTTACCATCGCTGTCATCGCCGACGACGAAACTGTTGAATTTCGCCAGAATAGAACCAGAGACTTTCTCCATGTTGGGTTTTGACATCCATGAAGACCCGCCGGTAGGGGATTGTCTTAAGCGGTTGGCAAGCTCATCCAGTTCGAAGTAAAACCGTTGATGATAGTACTGTGAAGGCTTGGTTGTTGATTTTAGGATTGCACCAATAGCGTCACAGTATTGCTGAGCCTCGGCCTTACTGCCATTTTCCGCGAGAGAAAGTGCATAATTGAGTTTAAATGCCTGCAAATGCGGTACTACTACAGTTGCTGCACCTGGCAATATGGAGAGCGCAAACTCGTAGACTTCAGTAAGAAGAATGGAATCTCGGTCATTCACGAATGTGAACGGATACCTGCGGTGGTCCGCACCAAGGAGTACAATCTGTGACTGCGGATCATCAGGGCCGCCAAAGGCCAGAGGAACGGATGCAGATCTCGCAAATACTGCGCAGATATGAGACGCTTCTATCCTTCCATAGGATGAGAGCAACCGAGAAAGAGCAAGAAGAGCAACCTGATCGTCAGGACTTCTGTTGCTCAGAATTAAACACAACGTCTCTTGCCATTTATCAAGTCCACAGAGTGCGTTCTTAGGGTGACCGGGGCCTTGCGTTTTGCTAACCATCTGCAAGCCCGCACGGGCAGAAGGTGGGACCAACTCATCGACACTCTCTTCCATGTTGCCGGCGAAAATCTCGTAAAGCGCAGCCAATGACTCAGTATTGTCACCAGCAGTCCTGACTTCCCGTCTGATGAATTCCTGCATCACCTGTTTCCAGACGGACTTATCCAATGTTGATGACATTAACATAGCATGGCCCCATAGGCGCCGATCAACGGCTTCCCAAACGGCTTTCTCCCTTCCACCAGTTAGGAGGCATCTGCGAATGCTTTCCAACCCATCCACGCTTGCCGGCTCCAATTGGGTTGTGCCGTTTATACTTTCATATACGCTAGAAAGCTGGGTAGAATGCCCGAAATCCTGCGATGATGGCCTGGTCATGTCAGGGACCGGAGATAGAATAGAATGCACGGCATTGTCGACCTCTGCATTACCTCCCAAGAGGCCATCGTGTTCAACCATGACCCGTATCAGTTTCCAAAGAAGAATCTTCTCATTATGTTGCTGCTGAGTCGAGGCCTCCAGGTAGGCAAGTTCATTTTCGAATTTAGAAATCATAGCTGACAACCATGCAATGACGTCTTTCTTCTTGGATTTCGACCTCAAGGGTCCCGGGAACTTAACGCTTGGCTCCATCTGCGCAATAATGTCGCCCACGAAACGAACTTTGGTCTCCCCGGGGCTTGATTTTATTTTGGGAACAAGTTGACCAGATGCATATCGGGGAATGTGTTTAGGGAACGAGCTGGCAATTACACCCCCAAATCCAAACTTAAATATTGGTGCGCCTTTCCAACGTTCAAGTGGATCAAGTTCCTGTCCGTCGGTTGGATAAATAAAATCTAGTTGCGGCGTAAAGGCTTCTTTGATCAATGATTGAGGTTGGGGTTGGAGTGGTGGTATTGGGCTGTGAACTGACGCAGGCACTTGGAAAGGTTCCGGTACGCTCGCTATGCTAGGTTCGCACTGTAACCTGCCTGGTGACGAAGTCCGGGAACTCCTGGGAGTTCTGGGCGGTTGATCCTCGGGGGATTGCTGGAGCTGAACTAATGCAGGTGGATGTGGGGGATAAGAAGGAGCTGTGGCGGCCGCTGGTGTAGCTTGAGCGTGATACGCTGGTTCGAAAGGATTGCGATCTGACGGAAGGGATGGCGAGAAGCGATCCGCAAACTGAGAAGAGGATCCGGTTCTACGGCTCGTTAGGGGTAGATATTCGTTAGCCGGTTGGTTTTGAGCGGTTTCATTTCGTAGATTACTATGCGGAGAGCGAGTGAGATCGGATGGTTGACGGGGACCAGGTCCAGGGAAAAACGGAGGACCATTTTCATTTTCAGATTGTGAATGAGTGGGCTGGTCGTGGGACACATATTCATGATACGCAAGGGGACTTGAGGTCCTTGGCTGAAATAGGTGTGAGGGGGAATAGCTTGTCATAGGCTGAGAAGAATATCTATTTGAAGCAGGAGGCGCGGTGGATGGTGGAGGAACAGGTGAGTATCTTGGAGAGGAAAGAGGTCTTGATCCAGGGTGGACGGCCGGTGGTCTTGGGGAATATCGGCCGGATGGGCCAGAAATTGTGCGGCCAGTGGGGACCGGAAGAGTGGAATAGGGATCTAGCCGCTCGGGATTTTGCAATTGATAATGATCACTTGCTTTTTGTGGCTGGCTAGGAGGCGTCATTACATTGGTAGGCATAGAACTAAGTGGCAATGAAGCCGCAGGGTGGGCCATGGTTTGGGGAGGAGCATATTTGATTCCCGTTGAAGGGCGACGTTTGGAAGTAACTGGGAGCTCCTCGAAAAAGTTGTTGCTGCTGGTGGCTCCCTCTGTTCCCCGACGAGATAAAGGCGGAGGTACAAGCTTTGCTGGGGAATAGGCCGAACTTGAACTCGTTGGTCGGCTCGCCGTCATGCTGCTCTGGCGAGGGGGGGTTTGTACTGCGGGGACCTGGGCTGCAGGGAGAGGTTGAGACACGAGCGGTTGAGAAGAATGATGTTTTGGACGAGTTAATTCCATAGGCAAATCATAGGGGGACTGATAGCCAGCCTTTGCTTGATTGGAGAAACTTTCAGGTTTACTGGAGTTCGAGTTGCCCGTATACGGACGTACTGGGGTCGTAAAAGCCCCTGCATTAGACAGTCCGTAGCCAGGGCCGGGAAACTCCTGCATTATATTGGAAGAAGGTAGCTGATGAGGAGTGTACGGGTTCGCCCGTGGTTGTCGTTGCGCCGACACCTCAGACACTTGAACTGGCGCAGGCGGTTGATAAGCGAACGCGCCTTCAAAAGGGCCATTTGGTAGGTCTCGATCCGAATCGTGTGGCGCATCCAGATCATCCAAATCATCATCCATCAGCAAATCATCGTCACTGAGGACCGCTTTCCATCTCTCAGCCAAAACATCCTCTGGGACATCTTCCTGAGCAACATTTTCTTCACTGGTTCGATTGTCAGTGCTTTCCAGTTGGTTTTTGGCTGGAGTCACATCAGTTGGCGAATCGGTCATCGCATTGCCCTGCTCGAAGTGTAATGAATCTAGGACTTGAGACGTAGATTTGCGGTTGAGCGGTGGCATTTTTGATTTGGATCCAAAAAAATCACCGTCGTCAACAGGTTCATCCTCCTTGAAAATTGCATCGATAATATCGGGTTGATTATGTTCAGCAGGGGATGATGGCTCTGAATCATTAATCAACGGCATGCCTTCCTCGAACCTTGACTCGGCTTCCACTGGTGTGTAGATGGGTTTCGTCTGAGTATTAAGCTGATTAAAAAAGTCTCCAGCAGTATCTTCCTCAATACCAGTGGCACCCCACGGCATGGAGGCATTTTGCTCATGAGAGTTTGAATATAAACCATTTTCAACAGTGGTAGTCCTGTTGTTAGAATCCAGATTCCCAGAATCACTGGCATCAGACTCCAAAGTTGTGTCATGTGAATGGCTGCCATCGGAGTCGAAGTCGTTACCAGGATCCATGCTTGGGAAAGAATTCGTTCGACCGGCTACATCATATTCCTTAAATGGTTCTGTCGAGGATCGTGAAATGTCCCAGGCGGAATTTACACCGCCATCGTCACCCCATTGAAACCCTCCCGAGCGCGCTTTATGACTGGTGGCTTCTTGTTCGACCAGTTGGATTTTTTCTCGACTAGGATGTACGGATTCGCCGCCATTGCCATATGCATCACCAGAGGGAGCTTCGTTAGATGTTTCCGTAGGTTGCTCCTGGTCTGATGGATGTATTATCTGTACATCGACGTCATCCCCACCTATCTCCCCGACGCTACGCGACGCACCATTCGAGTGTTCGACAAATGTCGATTCAACAACTGGGTCTCCTCCAGCAGACATTTGTAGTTGCTGTATTTTTGGATGGGTATGGCTCGCGGGCTTTGAATGCTTCGTGGACAAGGAGGTCGAACTCGAGTCCGTTAAGGAGAGGTACGAGGCCATTGGCCCGTTATCAGGTCTCAGCGCTGGATTCCAGGACCCATATTGAAGCATGTTGGACGCTAGGTCACTTCGTACTCTAACGCAATATCCGGTGCCACTAAGCGTCGTTTATAGCACCTGGATTCTATAATGAAATGCATTATTAGGATGAAGTCAGACACAGCCATGGGAGGAACTCATACCCAGTGACAAAAATAACAGGAGAGAAATCACCGCTAACAATAACTAAATCCAACAGCTGCTCTCAAAAAATCATATCCATAAAATTACCAAATCCGTGTGCATGTAGTCACTGAGAGGTGAGAGGTAGCACGTCGTTGTCGTTGTCGTTGTCGTTGTCCACCTGTCATCAAAAGATCCAAGGTTGGTCTCGTCTTGGTTCAGCTTTGATGCGACCTTGCACGCGAAAGGGATCGGATGAATGTATTTGCCGAAGGCCAGAGAAGCCACTGCATGCATTATGTCATCAGTATGCATCATACAGGTTTTGGAACGGTTTTGCGTGGTTCACTTGCATATTGGCCAGTAATATTACAATACCCGGTATGGCGTAATAAAGCGACGGTTTAACCGCGCCATTGAATAAGCCACGTGATATCCTCCAATCGCTCTTAAAATGCTGCCTCAACGCTCCCACGGCAACTTACATGACTGTATGACCTTCTACACTCTCTACCATTTTCTCTAAACTCTAGCGCCCTCTTTCTTTGCGGCCTCACGCCTCTTCTGGAACGTGTCTTGGGTATAAAAAATAGGGAGAGAATCGTTGGGAACAGTGGCAATATGACTTTCAGCTGATGAGCACTGTGCAAGCCGTTTATCGATGCAATCTTGTTTGATGATTTATCGATACAACCCCGGAGTTTTTGATAGGAGCATGGGTATAGCTGTATTGGACCAGTTTCCGGTAGAAATTTGCCAGCCTCTTGCCCAACATGGCGCTCTTCCATCAGTATGAGCAGCCGAATGCCTCAGACCTCTCCGATTATTCCGAATCCGATGAGGACCTCAACCTAGACGAACTTGACGTAGAAGCCTCCGCAGCTCTCCACGCCGGATATAGCCCTAAGGCTAAGGGAAGATTTGGTACAGCTCCAGGATATGGTGCTGGTATAGCAATGAGGAATTTACGAACTGGGGCTCGAAATCAAATTTGGAATCGCAGTGGTGCAAGGACCAGCCAGCAAAATGACGACAATGATATTGATGGCTTACTGGATAATCATGGTCATGAAGGAGGGGGCCAACCGTTGTCAGGAAGGAGTTCAACTTACGCTGAGGATGATTCTCCACTTCTCAGCAGACGCAGCCAGCCTCCACGGCTCCATGCCGCGATAGAGAGCTTCTACTCCCTGCTTAGGTCCAAATTCAGGTTGCCTAAATTCGACTCTCCACAGACACCTGGTGATACACCCAGTCGATATAACGGCTTACAGATGAATCCCAATTCAAACAATAAACCAACACGGCAAGTGGTTGTTGGCCAGGTACAGGGAACGCGATACCCTCCGAATACCGTATCTAACGCCAAATATACCCCGTGGAGCTTTCTTCCCCGCACCCTCTACAATGAATTTTCGTTCTTTTTTAACATATACTTTCTCCTTGTGGCATTATCACAGATTATACCCATTTTAAGAATCGGCTATATGTCGTCGTATATTGCGCCGCTGGCTTTCGTTGTATCAATATCGTTAGGCAAGGAGGCACTAGATGACATCGCTCGCCGACGACGAGATGCGGAAGCAAACTCAGAGGAATACACTGTGCTATCATATTCCCCGTCTACTTCCCGAAAACAGGTCATTCGACATAAGCTGACAGTTCCTGAACGGGATGAAAGCATTCCTGGCTCGCAAATTTTCGAAATTACGAAAAAGTCCCGCGATTTAAAGGTTGGGGACATTCTAATGCTAAGGAAAGATCAACGTCTACCAGCAGATGTGGTTATTTTAAGGAGCACATTGCCCGAAACTTCCACTACTCAGAACTTTACTCAAGATATACCTGATGCATATGATGCAAATGTTGCGGAATCAACACATCCGGCCACAGACCCCCTTTCAACTTCGCCGGCTGTTGAATCTTCTGATGGCTTTGGTGGCTGGAGTGACATCTTTATCCGCACAGACCAACTGGACGGTGAGACGGACTGGAAGCTACGTCTTCCGTCCCCCCTCACACAAAATCTACCTCTCTCAGAACTGAGAAGAATACGGATCACCGCAGGCTCCCCTGAAAAGAGCGTGAATGAATTCGTTGGAACTATTGAACTGGCACCACCTTCCCCTGGATCTTACGATCCCCATATTAACAAGACCGATGGGGCTGGACACTCATCAACCAATCCATCATCCCATGATGAGATATCTGAACCGAAGTATGCTCCGCTTACAATTGACAACACTGCCTGGGCTAATACAGTCCTCGCGTCAAACACGACAACAGTTGCTACAATTATATACACAGGAGCTGAAACCAGATCAGCGATGTCAACATCACCTTCTCGCTCCAAAGTTGGGTTGCTTGAATACGAAATCAACAGCCTGACTAAAATTCTTTGTATATTAACCCTAACCCTATCCATCATCCTTGTTGCTCTTCAAGGGTTTGAGCCTGAGAATGACAAGCCGTGGTATATTGCAATCATGATATATCTTATACTCTTTTCAACCATTATTCCCATGAGTCTACGTGTCAACCTTGACATGGCGAAGTCTGTGTATGGGAGGTTCATCGAGCGAGATGCTGGTATTCCAGGCACCGTTGTGAGGACCAGTACTATCCCAGAGGACCTTGGTAGAATAGAGTACCTCTTGTCCGATAAAACCGGCACGCTAACTCAGAACGGTAAGCAATACCTTAATATTGATTTTCGATAGCTTCCAACTAACATTTCCTTAGAAATGGAGCTCAAAAAAATCCATGTTGGAACTGTATCATATGCAAATGAAGCAATGGATGAAGTAGCATCTTACGTCCGGCAAGGCTTCTCCGTAACCTCCTCCTCCAGTACACCACACCTATCGCTCGTTACTCCAACAACTATCAATAGTACACAGACTGGACTGGCTTCAATTACTCGTACCCGACGAGAGATAGGTTCGCGCGTCAGAGATATAATCCTTGCTCTTGCGCTCTGTCATAATGTTACACCGACATCGGATGAAGAAAATGGACTGAAAATTACGGACTACCAAGCTTCGTCGCCAGATGAGATTGCCATTGTGAAATATACTGAGGAAGTTGGGCTGCAATTAGTATACCGCGATAGGCATAGAATCGTTCTAAAGTCTGTACACACAGCCAATATTGTCGCGCGTGTTCGCATTCTAGATATGTTCCCGTTCACCTCTGACTCTAAGCGCATGGGCATTATCGTTCGATTCGAACATGGTTCTGATTTGGATAAATCAACAGCACAGGATGAAGAGATCTGGTTCTACCAGAAGGGTGCTGATACCGTCATGTCTTCTATCGTTGCCGCTAATGACTGGCTCGACGAGGAGACTGCCAACATGGCCAGAGAAGGTCTTCGTACCTTGGTCATTGGACGGAAGAGGCTGTCTCAGGCGCAGTACCAAGATTTCTCATCTGATTACAAAGCAGCTTCATTGTCTTTACACAATAGGGATACTCGAATGGCAAGGGTTGTCAAAGAATTCCTCGAGCAGAACCTCGAACTTTTAGGTGTCACGGGTGTTGAGGACAAACTCCAGAAAGATGTCAAACCTTCCTTGGAACTACTACGGAATGCGGGCGTAAAAATATGGATGCTCACGGGTGATAAAGTGGAAACAGCTCGCTGCGTGGCAGTTTCCGCGAAACTTGTTTCAAGAGGCCAGTACATACACACCGTCACCAGGTTAAAGGATAGAAGCTCTGCCCAGGAAGCGCTAGATTTCCTCCGGAATAAAACAGACGCTTGCCTCCTCATCGACGGTGAATCGCTCACGTTAATGCTCTCCGACTTCCACAGCCCCTTCATATCAATCGCCGTCCTCCTCCCCGCAGTAATCGCATGCCGCTGTTCCCCAACCCAAAAGGCCGAAATCGCCAGTCTAATCCGCAAGTACACAAAAAAGCGGATCTGCTGCATTGGTGACGGCGGCAATGACGTCTCCATGATCCAAGCCGCAGACGTTGGCATCGGCATAGTCGGCAAGGAGGGTCGTCAGGCCTCCCTAGCTGCCGATTTCAGCATAACCCAATTCCACCACCTAACCAAACTTCTCGTCTGGCATGGCCGAAACTCGTACAAGCGCTCTGCCAAGCTCGCGCAATTTATCATGCACCGCGGCCTGATCATCAGCGCATGTCAGACCATGTACAGCATTGCGAGCCACTTTGACCCGAAGGGCCTTTTTATTAACTGGCTGTTAGTAGGCTATGCAACCGTTTACACCAACGCGCCAGTTTTCTCACTCGTGCTGGACCGCGATGTTGATGAAGAATTGGCCAATCTCTATCCGGAACTGTATAAGGAGCTAAAAACGGGTCGCAGCCTTAGTTACCGCTCGTTCTTCACATGGGTGTTCGTCAGTGTCTATCAAGGCTCGATAATCCAAGGGCTGGCCCAAATACTCGTTAGAGAAGTTACGGGGCCAAAACTTATCAGCGTCTCGTTCACGGCCCTAGTGCTTAACGAGCTCGTCATGGTGGCTGTGTCGATAACAACGTGGCATCCTATCATGATTTTGTGTATTGTTGGCACGGCGATCGTTTATGCGGCCAGCGTACCTTTTCTTGGAGATTACTTTGACTTGCAATATGTTATTACGCTGGAATGGGTGTGGAGGGTTATTGTTGTTGCGGCTGTTGCACTTGTGCCCGTCTGGGCTATGAAGCTCATAAGCAGGACGTGGAGCCCGCCAAGTTACCGGAAAGTTCAGGGATGACTTAACCCCCAAATTTTAAGGATGGATGATCGCATCTGACGACTTCTTTTTTTCTCGATGTTGCACCGCCATGTCGATTTTTCTTTTATAGTATCAATTGCAATGCATACCCCCCTCGCGACATAGGTGGCCATCTTAGTTTTCTCTAACCTGTGTCTTTCTGGATATGGGTATGGAAGGGTATATAGATTTCCTCCTTAATTTTTATCTGCTTATCTTTGTTTCAGTGCATTTCACAACACTGATCGGTAACGGTTCATGTATTTCCTATTCCCATTTTTTTTGTTATATTCAATAGCATTCGTGATATCCATATGTCATATTATAGGAAAACTAGCCAAATCTATCCAATACATAGATCATCCAAATGGATATCAAGGTGTTCTTTAGAATTCTCCTATCACTTCTATATATACACCACAAGCTATGTTCATTTTCTATTTGCAGCATTGATATTTATCCATGATAAAGAAATAGAAGTGACAAAAAGACCAAAGAGATAAGATGACCAGTAGCATCAAATGCCAGTTGACGGCATATAGGAAGAAAATTCAAACAAACAAACAAACAAAAAAAAAACCCATCATGAAGTGCTGATACAATGAATCAGAATTCCCATAAAAACGCCGGAGCCAAACGGATATTAAGTAGAAAGGTAGGAATCAAAAGTCAAACCATGCCGAAAAGTCCCTATCGAGAACCCCGTGGCGGCCCAAACAGTCTCCCAGGCAGTCCCGTTGGTGCATTCGTACCATTTCCACCAGCGCTGCCATACGCAGAAGAGCCATAAGGATCTCCAGAATCCCATGGGCGAGTTGACCCCATGTATGCCTCTCCACCTCCAGGACTCTGTTCGTTTCTACCCCTATTCCCAGGACTCGGATTCCTGGCTGGTGGCGAACTGGTCCTACCACCGTGCATTCTTGCACGCAGCCGTTCTTGGGCTGATGCTCCCGATGAAGCCCTACCAAGTCCCGTGCCCAATCTGTTTTGCTGTGCAGCCTGAGTATTTTGGTATGATCCTGCCCGCTGGCTGGGGAGAGGACGGACACTTGGGGCAGCTGAAGGCGGAGGTGTGTGCGACTGCTGGAAGTCGAAATACGAGCTATCATTCCCTGACATCGCAGTTGCCGTGGCGGGTCGAGCTGGCACATTCATGGGCCCAGGCATGAGATGTGATGGTGGGGTTGGGGCCGATTGTTGTGATGGGTTGCGACCTAGCCGCAGGCTGGAGATTTGTGGTTGTTGTGATGGTGGTTTGGTGGGACTAGAATCTCCCCATAGATCACCTAGGCCGCTGCCAGCGCCACGACCACCGGCTGCAGAGGCTCCTGGTGCTGGTCCTCCGCCGTAGCCTTGGAAAGGGGTTTGGCTGGCGACGCTGATGGTAGGAAGGGGTGGGGCCGGGGATTTGGGATCAGGAGGCAGCCAGGGAGGTAAGCAGCGGCCTTTCTCTGTGTAGTAGGCTCGCAGGACGTTGGAGATGTGAGAGCAGTCTTCGTTGTCAGTGTCATCGACCTCGTCGCCGGAATATATGGCACGGCGGAGAGAGTTGAAGCGGGCGCCAAAGCTGGAGACTGCGGTGGAGGATTTGAAGGAGGAGAAGTAGGAGGCCATAGCTACATTTACCCCCCCTAAGGTGGGCTGTCTGGTTGTCTCTGCTAGGATTTTAATGCCTTTCGAATTCAGGTAAGACCGATATGTGTCGTCTTTTGAGAGAGAGATTCACAGCGGGGTAAGGTGGAGATAGTTTGATTGTGGCCTCGAAGGTGAAACCGGGACAATATAGAAGGGGTTAAGGTTTGACCATGGATAAACCGAATGTTTTGGCAGCTTTTATCGGAATCCCTCGACATCATGCACTATCCCACTAACTGTTCCGCTGTCCTTATTTTAAGCTGGAAGACCTAATTGACTGAGAAATATATTAAAGCTGGAGCAATTGTTGCATTTGTCTTAAGATAGATTAAAGCACGTGACGATCAGGGTTGTCAAGTAAAGTAAGGAACAGCTTCAGAAAAAGAGATGTGCGACAATAAAAGGCTGAAGTGTGACAATAGAGAAGATTCCTATGTTGCAAGTAGTAATGAGATCCATTGCAATAGTTAGAAAGGATATCTATATCTCCACAGAGAGCTCCCATTCAACAGGCAATATCGAGATGTGAGGATTTCCAACAAATCCCGCCCAATGTTGAACCCTTCAGTATTTCCAAAACGCCATGCAATAAAGCTCCCAAACGAAATCAACCAGATTAAATGCTTTTGCATTATCATAGGCACCATTCAAGAAAATATCCCCTCCTTCACTAGCCCTTCTATCTCGTACTCAATCTCGACTCGGCCCCCTTTCTTTCTTGGCTTGGGTGGGGGAGCGACGCGCTTCCTCTTAGTCCCGGCGGCAGGTTTCTTAGCTTCTTCGTCTGCCTCACTGCTCTCCCCGCTCTCTTCATCGCTATCATCGTCGTCGTCATCTTCATCGTCCTCCTCGTCCTCTTCCGCACTATCGCCGCCTAGCCAGTCCTCGATATCCGCCAAATCGTCCTCCTCATCTTCGTCAAGGTCGCTAACATACTCAACTTTACTTTTACCAACGCCTTCCTCCTCACCATCTTCCTCCTCCTCCTCGTCCTCAATACCCTCATCAAGATCTTCATCCCGTTCCCCCTCTCCCTGCCTTTCCAAACCACGGAGAACCTTCTTCCACACCCCTTCCTCAACATTAAGAGGCCGATCGCCATAAGCGCCGCTTCGTAACCTTTCAATCAATTCCCTCTCAATAGCCCTCTCCACCTTCGCAGCAGCTTCCGCTTTACGTTCCCTAGTTTCCTCTCGCCGCCTGATCTTAGGCGCCAACTTCGCAACCAATTTCTCCCCTAACCTCTCATCTTCCTTCATAAGCTTCCTTGTCCGTATGGCCACCTGAGTCAGCCTAGTAAGGCGCTGTTTGCACTTGTGAATCAAGAACTTGGGCCAGTAGATTAAGCGCTCGTCGACTTGCTCGAGCGCTTTCGCATAGTTGGACGATAACCGTATCCGTTCCCACCACTTACTGGGCATATGCGAACGCTCAATGGTCTTCATGTAGAGGTACATAGCGCCCGTAGCATGGTCAGAACGGACCGTGGCATAGCGGGAGTTTGCCAGAGGACATGATTGCCGATTGCAGAGACCGGTCACGTTATGTTCGTTTCGGCAGAAAGTTTGGCCTTTTGTAGTCCTACAGTGGTAAATGATTAGAATAAAGCTATAATTATAAGGCACCAAAAGCTCCTTCGACAACACACCGACCCGCGCAATGCAATGAATGGACCTACTTCAGTTTGAAGGAGCAAAATTGTTGGTTTATAACCTGCCATACGATTTCGTCTGACGACATATCTGCTGCAAATATAGCCCAAGGGCACCTCCTACGAGCACCGGCTGTGACGAACGCGCAATGAACGAGGTTGGCGTTGGCTGAAGATCCTCCGCCAGTCGATTCCCGCCGGAATTTTTTTGTTTTTAGCGAAAAAAACGATTTGGAATGTGGTCACGTGTATTTGCAGCTAGCATGAAGCGAACCAAGCACCAGCCACAACCGCCCAACCTCAACCAAACATTGAAATCCCTCGCACCAACAATTCGCTCTACTCCGCCTTGCGCTGCGAGAGACCCAGTTAATGTCTCTTTGCCTTTGTGAAGTTATGTACATCCGAATCCATCCAAATCCAGTGGAATCCGTTGAGGGGGCTTGATAAAATTGCACTCACGTGGTTGCATGCTGGTGAATTCCTTCAATCAATGATACAACCAAATTGTCTCTTCATACCCTCTGTCATGTCTCATTATAGGAATGACCCGGAATTCACCAAAAATAGTCGTTATATTTATATAACAGGTGGATAGGGTAGACAGCCCTCCCAAAAAAGCTCCTAGATCCAACTTTACTTCATCCTCGTTCGTACTACAGTCAGTAACTTGTTCCTGCAGGAGCCAGTCCTCATACTGCGCTTTTTCTTAGCAAATGGGACCAATCCTCACATGTTTGGAGTGTGTTTTCCAGCCATCGTCTTTAACTCAGCGTTATAGATTTCGTGAGATACCCAAGTGGGCCTGTTGTTGAATGACTTAAAGCAAGATGTTCACTGGGTCTATGGATGGATTGTTTCTGCGAGCGCCACATCCCTGGAACTTGGGGATATCGTTACTTCATATTTTCTAAAACCATTTGTTGTGAGATCAACTCTTTAAATCATGTCTCTATTTCAACATCCCAGCTCAAACTTATCATTCCAGTCGCCATGATATCCATGAATGGGTATTTTCTACGGTCGAGCATGGTGACATTTATCATCCCCCAATCTCATCATGCTCCACACATTCAAGAACCTCCTGATGGTCACCCATCACACCACACTCGTACAAAATCAACACAACAGAACCATCAAAGGTTTCCTTTCACCCATCCTTACCTGTTACCAGAACCTTTACGCACCCTTAATCACTCTTTGACTCGCCGGGCAGCAGGCGATTGCGATTGCGATTGCGATTGCCCCAAGGTACTCAACTTGAGCGCTGCGGGAGATTATATAAGCAAGGTACTGCAGGACTTGGAACAGTCTTGCGTCAAGAGTGATCATTAAGGGAAGGCTGTGTTTGGTAGTGTCATTGAAAGCGGGTGGATGGCTTGACTATGCGCGGCTGGAAAGGAAGGAAGACAATGGAAATGATCATATATTCAGAAATTTGTTACGATACCTAATATATATCAGCCTAGAAATTTTACCATTCTATCCACCAAACCCAGCTCGCCTCATCTCAGACCCTCCATAATCCTCGCAATCGAAATTGCCTTCTCTTCCCCAAACCTCCCGGTCACAACCTGCAGCGAAACCGGCATTCCTTGAACTAGGTTTATGTTGTCTATTCCGCTTAAGTCAGCGTCACCAATCTACACATTCCTTTGATTCGCCATATTCTAACTCTTCGAAAGATAACGATAAGATATATGCCTTACATTGCTGATGATTAAATGCATCGGACTCATTCCGAGCCTTGTAGCTGATCCACTCATTATCTGGAGTGTCGACGGCAGGGTCAACCTTGGTAACGGGAACAACCAGGGCGGTATAGTCCAGCAAGTTCCAAAGAGCGCTGTAGCCGAGCAATTGCTTGCTTTCGACCCAAGTTCTCGGCTTGAAATTGACCCAGGCCATGACGGGCATGATTAGGGCATCGATACCGACTTTGTTCCAGTGTGCGAGGTACGATTCTCTATAGGCAAGCTTCTGAATTTCGAGCTGTGGATGGGTTAACTTGGCTGAAAACAAACATGACATGGAATAGAAAAAGGAAAACAATACCGCCATCCGGTTAGCAACTGACCGCGGCTATGGAAGCTTGGAGCGGACTTACTTTCTGGCGCTGAGAAATCGACAGTTTGTCCGCCTCCTCGCCAACTAACATCCCCTGAATCAGGGGCTCATCGGCTAGCTTGCACATTTTTCGGCAGTGTTCTCCGCCATCAGCTTTTACCGCTTTAAGCCATATATTAATACCTTCGTCGTGTGAAGAGGAATTCCATTCGATTACTATCGAATCGAATGTTAGTATTTTTTTTTTTTTTTTTTTTTTTTCACGAGAACTATTAGGAAGCATGTGTTGAGATTACCTTCATGCCCTGCGGCTCTAAATTTATCTGCAGTTTCACGTAACGCTCGGGATATAGGGGGCTGTGGTCTCACAAACCCGTCATCAAAAATGAAAGCGATCTTCAAGGGCCTGTTAGGAGGATTGGCAAGATCTTCTCGCCACGGGACTGGCAAGGCTTTCGGATCGGTTTCCCACGGACGCGAGGAAATGATAGCTTTCATGAATATTTCAATGTTGTCTACAGTGGAGGTAATGGGACCAGCTACTGGTACAACGTTGTAAACTTGAGTCATCCTGAATTGGAAAAAAAATTGTTAGACTTGTCTCTCACAGCCTTTTGTCTCTCATATGGATTCCATCTGCTTACGAAGACTTTTCCCATGGAATGCGACCTGCTGAAGGGAGTAATCCATATAAGCCTTGCAATGCGGCGGGGATTCGGATTGAGCCCCCTATATCTGTTCCAATGCCGATGATGCTTCCTCGGGCCCGGACTATTGCACCTTCACCGCCAGAGCTACCACCTGAGATAAGATTTTTATTCAATGCATTCACGGATTGTCCAAATACATGGTTATATGAATCCGACATCTGTTCACGAAGAAGTTAGTTCCACAAGTCCGGATGCTTCTAAACAGAGCAAACCCACCATCAGTGACTGTGGTATGTTCGTCTTCACATATAGCACAGCACCTAGTGACAACAAAAGTTTAACCACGGTTCCCGATTTCTTTGCTGGTTTTCCAATTAAACCAGACCATCCTAAACATTCGCATGTTAACAACCAGCAAACATACCAAATTAGCGCAAAAAGTACAGCTAGACTTGTCCAGCTTGCCTACCGACAGTGGTATCAACACCCTCAATATCAAACCCGTCTTTGATCGAGATTGGCAATCCATGCAGCGGCCCAATCAGACTCCCCGTCCTCGCCAAGTGCTCGTCGAGCTGTTTCGCCTGCTCCAGCGCACGCTCGAAGAACATCTCAGTACAGCAGTTGATTAACTGATGCGCAACTGCAGCCCGTTTGCAAAACGCCGTCGTTACCTCGAGACTTGAGAGCTCTCGGGTAGAAATCTTGCTTAATAGAGTGGAAGCATCGGTAACATTTGTAATTTGCTTCTCTCTGTCCGAGAGGACATCGCAGGATTCAATAACATCTGTGGAATTAACGAAATCTGCGGGGATGTTTGGCAATCGCCACGCAAGAGGGATAGATTCTGCTTGACTCCGGCGCTTCTCGCGGACGATTTCTTTCCAGTGGACCATTTTTTTTTCTTTTTAGAAGATTCTGTGAGGTTTGTAACTTCAAGGACTCTTGTCACCCAGCAATGCTAAATTCCAACGAAGCTCTGTTTCTTTTCCAAAACAGTGTCCAGACGTGTTGTCAATTGCTTGCTGATTCTAACGGTCTAACGGAAGCCTCGAAAGTCAAATGCCAAATTAAGCAGCAGGGGGGAGACCCTTAGAAACGACCTTATAGGATGGATACAAAGAGCCTTTGTTAAACATTGCGGGGTTTGGTTCTACGGAGGTCGGGGAAATGTAGATGCGAGTGCCGGGAACACCGGCACTCGGCACAGAGATTAGCCGAAACATCCCCGTGCAATCCCGATCAACATGTTGACATTGATTGCCGGAAACAATCCATCCAACATGCCGAAAAACTTCATTTTTTCATCGGCCGTCGTTACGATATCGTTTTTGTGGGTCCGGCACGCGTCCATGTACTAATTCTATGGAGTAGATTTTATGGGCTATCCGCGCTTGGCGCCAGCCCACTATCGGGAATTCTTCGGAACCAAACCCACTAGCTCCCGAAAGCTAGTGTTGAAAGCAAGGTCTGCATAGTTTAATCCAGCAAACTCTAGGTGATAGATAGGCTTCAACATGGCTCCACCTCAACCCCAGTCCCAAACCATTCTAATCGCCCCCTCTGTTGCTGATGGGTTTACTCGGAAACTCCTTGAAAAACAGGGTGTCCCTCCCCAGAATGCCGCCATAATCGCAAAATGCCTTTGTCGAAGCAGATCTGCGCGGTGTTGAGAGCCATGGCATAAACCGGATCCCTTCGTATCTGGCTCGGATTCGACAGGGTGTTCTAGACCCAGCTGCCATACCATCTCTACGCCAAATCACCCCAGTCGTTGCCCAAGTAGGTGGACATAACGGCTTCGGCTTCGTTGCTGCAAATACAGCCATGGAACGTGCGATCGCCATGGCGAAGGACTATGGAATCGGGATGGTCTCTGTTACGCATTCAAACCACTTCGGCATGTCCGCTTTATATGTCCAGCAGGCGGTCGAGGCTGATATGATGAGTCTTGTTTTCACAAATTCTTCTCCCGCACTGCCGGCATGGGGCGGGAGGGAGAAACTCATGGGCGTCTCGCCGATAGCATGCGGGGCACCCGCCGGCGGCAAGTCAGGGGTGCCGTTCATACTCGACATGGCACCGTCTGTCGCAGCTAGGGGCAAAATTTACAAAGCCCTGCGACGTGGGGAGCGAATCCCGGACGGCTGGGCGTTGGATGAGAATGGATCCCCGACCACAGATCCTGCGGCGGCTTTAAATGGGGTAATGTTACCCATAGGAGGGCCCAAGGGGTCCGCTCTAGCAATTATGATGGATGTTTTTGCGGGCGTTTTGTCCGGTTCTGCGTTTGCTGGGCATGTTACAGGGCCGTACGATCCGTCGAAAGAGGCTGATGTAGGGCATTTCATTGCGGTGATTAAGCCAGACTTGTTTATGGCGTTGGAGGAGTTTAAAGAGCGGATGGATTATTTGTATCAGAGGGTTGTCGGGGGGGATAGGATGGAAGGTGTCGACAGGATTTACTATCCTGGAGAAATTGAGCTGCTGACTGCAAAGAAAAGGAGGGAGGAAGGGATCCCGTACGTAACGGAGGAGATTGAGGCGTTGAACAGAGAGGCGGATGAGGTGGAAGTTGCGCATTTGGACGATATTTGATCTTCAGGGGAAAAGTCTCCTTCCAATATCAAAGCAGAGTGATGCATTTATTCTCAAATTAATTATAGAAATGAAATCATAATGATGGATATCAAGCGGAACATAAATCATGAAAGAAAGCATGCAAAGCGAGAGGACACATGAATCGAAAGAAACAATGCTAGACAATCTGCCGTCTACATACACTTAGTCATTCCAAGAGTAAGAATACCATCTACAACATTAGCAAAAGAAAGACGTAAATGGTCCCCGAAAAACTGGTGGGGAGGGGGGTCAAGTGCGGACCCCAACAATGGCAGAGAATAACGGTGTTCTCCTCACCAACCCTCTGGTGCAATCATCCCAGGCTCCGCCCATTCTCCACCATTAATGTCCGATATTGGCTCACCCTCCTCGCTAGCTGCATTTACCATCTCATCCCCTGACATCCCCCAGCCCATATTCTCTAGCTCACGAACAAAGAAATCCCGCTCCTCTTCCATCATTGTATTCGTATCCTCAAAAGCCATTTTATCTTTATATTTGCGCAGATGCCACCAGTGTGTGAGTCCTCGCAATGTCTGCTCCATAGGTAGAGATTCCTCAACTTCAGCATCCACATCGCTGCCAGCCAACCAGTCATCGCGTAGTTCTGGGCGACAGTACAGATAAATGGCAGTGATAACACGCATGTGGCTCTGCCGCCATTTTCGTCCGCAGTAGGGGACTTGCGATTTCACTAGCTTGAGAGTGTAGAGTCGGAGATGCGGATCGGGGACCTTGATCCCCTTGCGGAGGATATTGCTTGATTTGTATTGGACAAGCAGAAGGCATCTGTGCGCTTTGTCTCGAGTGATTTTCTGCATTATGTGGAGGAAGTTTATGGAGGAGAAGAAGTTTCGAAAAGAGTAGGTAGTGACCGGTCCATTGGTGGCGGGAGCGTTGGCATAACCTAACTCGTCGACTTCAGGAAGAAGAGGAGACCTGTTCATAGGGATGGATTGTGGTTTGTCTGGTGATTGTGGGCGGGAGGAGTTACCAGGTGCCGATGGATGGGAGGTTTTATTCCGAAGGATTGGAGGGGGGACTGCATCCTCCTCGCTGTCCAGGTCCAAAGGTTCAGGGGAGGGTGCGATCTCTGGGGGGTTATTAGAGTGGACGTGGCAAAAGCGGAAGAAACTGGAACGAGTTAGGGAGGCTTCTAATCGACATATACATCTGGAAGAGGTTACATACCTCAAATCCTCTCGATCATTCTTTTGGGCAACAGCTTTATCCACTTCTTGGTGTATAAACATCTTCAATATGAGGGGAAGGTAATTTGAATCAAGAAGCAGTTGTGTCATGTATTCGAATTTCAGTATGTCTGTAATATGCACGTTAACAAATATCATACTAAAGCGGCAGATAGCACTGAACCATACGTGATCGTTTGAAAAACTTCAGCATCAGTAGAAGACATCCTGAGATAGCACTCGAAGTTATTTCTCGGAGCCTGATGGCATCTAGCTCTTCGGCGTCCACTTTATCGTCTTCCCGCTCAATATCTTGAGAACCTGTATTAGGTGCCGCCTCATCATCAAAGGCAGAGTTTCTAGGTTGGCTAAAATATCAATAACCGTTAGTTAGCTTTCCAGAACCATACCGATAAGCAATATCGTCACAAGACCCACCCTTGTCGGAAGCCATTTTGTCCGTTTGCCTTGGTCTGCAATGAGGCAGACTCCGTGATATTGATTAAAATTTCTTTCAAAAGAACTATGACGATAGACTGTAGATGTGGAAAAGCCTGGCTCTGTAATAGAGTTATCAGCTAGGAAGTCCAGAAGCAGACAGGGTAAAAGGTAAACTTACATAAAAGTCTTCAACCGCATCTAGACGTTCCTGGACGTATGGATCGTCGGATTCTTTTACATGTTGGACGCCGTGGGGTTTCTTGTTTCGTAGCTTCGTAGCTTCAGAGTCCAATTCAACATCGTCCAGCAAATCAGGCTGCCGCTTTTCATCAAATTCCGTTGCCTCCCATCCTCTATCATATTTCAAAAACCTCTCTCGCTCCTCCCATAGCTGACGCATTGCTCTCGTCATCTTCATTCGACTAGAAAACAGCTCTCCAGCTTCGATAATAGAGGCAGGGACATCGCTACCCTCCCACTTCTTACCCACCACTCTATCTTGAAATTCACTGCTCCCCTTACCGCCAATATCATTACTCGTTTGATCGAGGGGCGGATACATAAATGGGAAGTGTTGGTTTGTTTGATAGTTTTGCTTTTTGCCCCCTTTGCCACCTGGTCCCATTGGCGAAGGCGGGGGAGACGGCGCAGGGGTCGCAATGTGCACAGATTGGTGAAGAATCGATCCATTTCCACTTGTTGATGATGGTCCAATGCCCGAAAATAAGTTTGAGGTTGAACTGTATCTGCTAGAGTGGCTTGGTAATGGAGGAAGCACTGAATTGTTCTCCAACTCAAATGGTACCAGGGGAGGCGGGGGATTGTAAGCGGGATATTTCGAAGTAATTTCCTGTCGAAAGATGTGATAGTCGAGCGGGGAAGCGGTAAGAACCGGAAGATTAGAAGACTTCGACGCGGCTTCCTGGGCATCGTATTTGGGCTCGAGATCAGCTTTGACCTTCGCCAGGCTGTCGGATCCTCCAAATAGCAGTAACAGACATTTCCATAATAGAAGGGTAACCTAGAAATGTTATTAGAAAGAGGAAGTTCCACAAAATCAGAAAGCAATTTACCCTGGTCAGCGGAATCATGGTGGCTTCCTCCCAGCGCAACCGAGCAATAATTTCAACCAGAAAAACAAGAATATTCGGCCTTAAAGCAGCTGCAAGTAACAGAATTAGCTGCGAATATATAATCGTGGTGATCAAACAAAAACCTACCGATATCTTTTTTCAGGCCCAGTTGATCTTGGTTGGATTCTTCCTGTTTACGTGCAACCTCTACCACAAGATACATAGCAGTGAGAATTAAATTAGCCTCACGCTCCCGGGCAGCGTAATATGCGGCTGTTCCATTCTCCGTTTCGAAAAACTTCATATCCGTTCCTGTTATCGGTCTAATATTGGAGGATCAGAATAAGTGAAATAATAATACTTTCAAGAAAATGTTATGGGCCAAAAAGTAGCGGGGGTAACTGACTGGTCCTTCTCAAAAATATGTTTCATAGCCTCAAACAATATGGGAATTCCGCCGCATTGCTGCACAAGCAAAACATTGTTTACCATCCATTTGATCTGCATTGATTTTGATTTCGGAAACTCTTCCGCTGACTCAAACTTAGAAAATCCCTCCGGATGATCTTCGGAAACCTTGCCCGCAGTGACGGCCCAAGTCCCTGTAATAATATAGCATATCACCTCGAGGGTTTCAATTCGGGCGAACAAATCTGAATTATCGAGAGATTCAACCGTACGCGAAATAAAATTCACGCGCATCTCGTCGCTAGCATCAATCCACGAAACCTCAGAGGTCGGTGGGTTCGGGAGATTTTGACAAAATTCAGACCAGTTCTGGTCAAATGAAGCCTTGGATCCCAGAAGCATAAGACGATCTGGTTCGTTGTATTGAAACCACTCATCCACTTCCTCCGGAAATGGCTGACAGTCGGCGTACTCAAAAGCATAAGCTGGTTGTTCGGACTTTGGCATTTCATGTACAAATTTCCGTAGTTGTGCCAAACTCAAGGAATCTGTTGGAGACTGGTTTTGCGGCACGGGCGCTGGGGGTGGTGGCTTCAGAGGTGGTGGTGGAGCACGCAACTCCGGACGCACTGGTTCTCGTCCATGGCGTTGGAGAATCCCGGGAAAGTCATCGCGATCAATCTTGCAGGCTTTTTCAGCCTTAAAGCCCTCTACTAGTTCTGGCATTAGCTGCTCATCGGGAAACGTGGAGATATCAGTTCCCGTCTGGTCAATCTCGTCGGCGCGGACGAAGTGGTGTTCCGGCACGTCAGAACGCCGGGATTTCGAAGAAGAATCCATCCCTTTCTAACTAAAGATTGCCGGCGCCAAATTTGCTAAAAGCAAGCTTAGAAATAAATATAGCTGTAACGCGTAATCATTTGGGAAAATTGTCCGATATTTTTGTCGCGTTCAGAATATCACAACCTCAGGGTCTGATGCCAAGAGAGGGTAAAATAAAGGCAAACAGCCACAACATAGGGATTCTAGAGAAGAATACCTCATGGTCAATTAGACCTATGCACAATGGGCTGAGAGTAAGTTAGTCATAGTTTCGTTGCCTGCATTGCAGAGTTCCATGTCAAAACGTCCTCGCTTTTATTCCATGGAAGGGTCCCTTTGGAGGCCGAAGTTTGAACACCAAACGGAAGCGGAATAATGTAATCCCGAAGGCCATAACATGCCCTCTTAACGACAACTCTGGGACCAAACAACCGGCTTGAAAGAACCAAGAACAATCTACAGAGTACAGAATAACCATGAATATCATTGCTAGTTCCAGGAGGCGTGCTGAAGTCCGCTACATTCTATAGCTCGAGCTGCTCGCTTGATCTACCTATATATAAATGTTTCTAGAAAAGATGGCGTCCCCGAAACATTCCATGAAGACACAATATACAACAACTTTCAGCCTTCATGCCAGCAGCGCAGACTAGATTACAGTTACGTGGGATCATATATATATTTCTATTGCAAATGGGAAACCTCGAAATTGGGTGTAGGTCGCCATTCAGGGAAGCGGTTAGTTAATCTTGCCGGATGCTTTCGCTGCCCGTCTTGCTATCAATCTCTTCTCCTCCCATCGTTGCCAACCTGCCTCCACAAGATCTTCTCTGACAAGCAGATCGCGCATCCTAGCCATCCTTGCTAGCCGCGTTTCCAAAGCCCAGTCGACCCAACCCCACTGCCTGAGCTGGCTTGAGAACCAGAACCATAATACACTGCAGACCACCCCGGCAACAAAGCCAGCAACAACCTGTCGGGGTGTGTGGTAGTTTAGGTATATGCGGCTTATGGCAACTGCACAGGCACATGCACAGGCTAATACCGCGACAGCTGCTCGTTGGGTATATGTAGACGGAGAACAGGTGCTGGAAGCATCGGGCACGTGCCGAACAAGGAGAAAGAATGTTAAGGAGAGAGAAAAGAAGGCAACAAATTGCGAGTGTGAAGACGGCATGCCATAACCCTTTCCATAGATCTCTGTTAGGATTGGAATTAGTCAAGTTAGCGCCATTGACACACTTGCTATTGTAAGAGAGAATATTGAGGTATTGGAAGAGAAACGAAGTTGACAGGACATACGCTGTGGCCTCTCTTCCTGTATCATCCTCTTCAGTAAGAAATTGATGGCTTCACATAGCATCTGACCGGCAAACATGAGTAGGACTTCGACCTCACGCGTCGCCCAGATAAGGGTAAGATAAATAACGCAGATTGCTTGTGGGGCCAGTGACAGTAAGGCGGAAACGTAGGAGAGAGGATCTTCGGGGTTCTAATTATTTAATGCCCCGGGTGAAAGTCAGTTTCCGTTGCAGTCTCCAAAAGGGTTGCATTGCAATGTCGACGAACGAAAATAACAAGACTCACATAATTAACATGAGTCAAGGACAACGATGCCAGAGGAACCTCCATGTTATCCGGCTTCAAATGGAAGACCCTGCAAAAAGGTCAAACAGACTATATAAGGGCTTTTTTGTCAGATGCTATCAGCGAGGCTGCTGATGTTATTACTTCTGTCAAGTTGAGCAATATGAACAGACAAATGTAATCAAATATGCCAAAAGGATTGATCAAGCGCAGATGCAGTTAGTATGTATTATATTCCATCGCAACGGGTTTAACGAGGGTGGTTGTTCTTTTATCTATGCCCGACCGATTCGCGAAAATCGGCGGTCGCTGGTCCCCCCTCAAGCACGTCAGAGTATCCTTAGATACAAAAGTGATACAGAAGTCGGGATCCAGATTAGAAACGAGAAATATAATAAATAAAAATAAAAAAATAAAAAATGAGAGAGAAATGATACGCCGAGAGAAAGAAACGGATATCCCCGTAAAAACAGTGGCTAGAAGCCACCGAAACCTTTTGCCGGACTCTTTAGTGGTTGGTGGCCTTCGTCTGTCTCGACTAACCCCCCGTTGGGGCAGAAAGTCTACCCAGCTCAGCTATTTTGTAAGGTTTGACTCCAGTACATATTTTTTGACCGCAATCCCCTCCAACTTCCTCCTCTCACCACCATCTCTCTTCCACTTTAACTTCCTATTCCCACCTACAGAGTGTCAGCATGTCAGCACAGAAGAAGCGATGATCTGGACAGATATCGTTCCTACGTTCACTCAATCTATTCAATCTCCCATGCGCCAATAGATCCACCCTCGCAGTCACATAACCCCGCAATGGTGATGATAGGACCTGCTTTTTTAATGCAAGAGGATAACTTCAAATGACGTTGTTTTCAACCTTGGGGGTTGGTCTAACCTATCTATCCTAGCCGTCTGATGCTTAGCTGCTCCGGTTCGCTGTTCCGTTCATTAAGACGTCGTTCTTGAACCCCTCACTGGCTGTCCATATACGATCCTGAACCAGAAACGGATTGTTGGGAATACACCCAAATAAAGAAAAATGGACGAACTCTGCGAAGATGAAAGGGCCATTGAACTATCGTCTATTGCTGCGATATATCCAGAAATCGTTATAGATCCCAGTGCCAAGTTCAAGGCCTCTCTTGAGCTTCCAGTCTCTCCCACAGTCCCTTTAAAAGTCCTTTTTCAGCGCCCAAAATCATCGCTTCCAACGCCTCCGACATCTCTCGGCCCCGACGACAATGATACAGTGTCGCAGGTTGATGCACAGGAAACTGCCCCCCTATCCCTCTCACATTTGCCACCCTTGAAATTAGATATCCAACTTCCTGATGGGTATCCCTCGCTTGCATCTCCTCATTTCTCCATCACGACAAACCCGGATTGGCTACCGCCGTACAAAGTCGCCGAGTTTTTAACTGACGGCAAGAGATTATGGGAGGAATGCGGAAAAGACTTTGTCGTTTTTACTTATATCGACCATCTACAACAATTAGCGGAGAGGGCATTTGACCTTTGCGGAGATCATGAAGACACCGTCATTTTTTCACGAGATTTAAAGGTTGCACTTATGGATTTTAACATTAAATCTAAGCGGGAAAAGTTTGAGCAGGAAGGTTTCGAGTGTGGTGTTTGTTTAGAGCCTAAAAAAGGAGCAGTTTGCCATCGGATGTTGCTGTGTTCTCATGTCTTCTGCATCAGTTGTCTCCAGGGATTTTATAATGCTTGCATAAAAGAGGGGAATGTCGATAATGTGAAGTGCTTGGCCCCAGGCTGCGGGAAAGATCCAGTACCTGAACCCCAAGCTGAGGTTATGGGATATGCAGATCCGAGGAGCTATAAGAAAAAGGATCGAACTCTTAATCCAAGTGAGCTGCTACAAATTCCACTGGATCAGGAAGTTGTACAGCGCTATGTACAACTCAAAAGAAAGCGGAAGTTGGAGTCAGACAAAACAGTTGTCTACTGTCCTCGCCAATGGTGTCAGGGAGCTGCTAGGTCTAAAAGATATCCGAAACGAGACGGCACAGTGGACGAATTTGAATTATCGGATGACGAGTATGATGAAACCAGACCTTCCCCATTTGACCCGCTTGCACCAGAAGAACAACTCCCACCCATGTCACAACGTCTGTCGATATGCGAGGATTGTAGCTACGCATTCTGTAGCGTCTGTAAAAAGGGTTGGCATGGCGAGTTAGCTTTTTGCTATCCGCGAAGAACTGCAGAGCTCTCCGCAGCGGACAAGGCCAGCGAAGATTATATCAAAACGTACACTGCGCCCTGCCCAACCTGTGAAGCCCGCTGCCAGAAGGCAATGGGTTGCAACCACATGATCTGCTTCAAATGCAACACCCACTTCTGCTATCTGTGTTCGAGCTGGCTTTTTGAATCCAATCCATACAGCCATTTTAACGACCCGGATGGTGGTTGTTATATGCGACTTTGGGAGCTGGAAGAAGGCGATGATTCCAGACCTGCTCCACCGGACTGGGATCGTGCAGCTGCTGAAATGCAAGACATGGACAGCGGTGATGACGACAACGCCGATGACCTTGAGTGGGAAATAGCCGCTGAAACCGGCAACAATGGCAACTGGGGCGGAAATCGCCAATGACCACCAGCTCCCGGCCAACCAGCAGTTCCTCGAAATGCAAGACGACATCGAGGTAATCGAGCACCCCCTCCCGTACCGGTGCCCCCGGGCATCAATGCAAACCAACAAAATGGACGTCGCCCAGACGATGCAGCTCGTGCTGCCGCTGCTGAACAACAGGTTCAGGCCCAAGCCATCGCTGAGGCTCGCGGTCAGCAGCTTAATCCACCCAATCCCCAACCACCCAGACAGATGGTAGGGCTGCAGCGGTTTCTGCAGCTGGTGCAGAATGACCAGGAAGATGGATGGGATAGTGATGAGATTTATTTATAATGTTTTCCACTCAGTATGCTTGAAATTTTCACCCACTACTTCCTCTTCTTGTAAATATGTTGTTGATGCTGGATTTCATCAACATACCATTGCCATACATACCTTGGATATACACCAAAGACTTTCTCCTGCTTACTTTATAACAGGGCTACTGACATGACTAGTCTTGTGTTTTTCCATTTTGTTTTTTATGAAGATTTCAGGCTCTCCACAATACGACGTAATGCACGTTCATTCTTGATTCCATAATTTTTGTCCATGATATTCTTTGATTTTCAGTATACGACATGTATTTATTCAACCCAAAGATTTAATTCTCCATATACCCCTTCCTAAATATATTTATTTTACCTACTTCTGTACCACTTGGCCAATGCTAGATAGCTGTCATCGTACCTCTAATAAATAAAAATTAAAACCCTCTCTCCTCAACCTCATAACTACTTCTCTTCCCCTCACTTCTTTTGACATTCATTCACCTGCACTCTTGTTTTCTGTATCTTCTACCACATAAACTCATATTTCTTCTCTGCAGATTCTAGAAATATAAATGTCTATTTAATGGAGAAGATATGAAGTCGTTGGTTAGATTAAAAAGATCTAGCTTCTGAGTGGTGGTTAAATATACAGGACTTTTGTAGTCGGCACCCGCAGGGAGAAACTACAACAAATATTAATCAAAGCACGTCCCCATCCTGTAACAAACAGCCATATCCAAACCTCTGGAGGCAGCCTTTACTCTCAGATCATAAAAAGACGTTATTCGACGCAGCGGTGAACATGACGTCCCTAATCCATACCAATACTCTTTAATTAGGTGCCCGCCTGTAATGTCAACCTCGGGTTGCCGAAGTAATCTTCAAAAAATGGTGCCTCACCCTCTGTTCTACAGCTGAGCAATGAAACTGCGCAAGGAGTTGACATTTTTACCTTCCTACAAGTAAATGAAGCATGTACTATACCTAAAAAGTATGGAGTATGGATAGGGAAGCCTTCCACACACAGCTGCAACTGATTAACAGGAGTAAAGAATTATGGGAGGTATCATTCAATTTAACAGGGAGGGAAATAATAAACGAGAAGAAGTAGGGTACATTGCTAACTTCCAAGGTTCTTAAGGTATGCCGGCAAAAACTCCACAACTACCTGTCATTTGATTTAATCAATCAACCTATCGAATCCCATATTTGTTTGACATAAACACTCAGCAAACCAGGAGGATTCTTGAAAGAGAGGTGAAACTGGTATTGTTAAACCCAGTATCGTTAAAGTTAAGCAGCACACGCTTCGCATAGATGGAGACACCAAAGGTAGTGTCAAGAAGACAACGAAATTGTTGCCAACATTCACGGTCTCAACAAGGACCCTCTTGCAATCAGCTGCGTAAGTCTGCCATGAGGGCTCATCATATCCGTAGGCCATTCATAGAAGAGCTCATAATGCATCACCGTCAAATTCGAATACATTAACAGAAGGCGATAGCGGCGAGAAAATTCGATGCCGTGCCATTGCTCACGTCGGAGATGTTCATCGACATCCGGTACCTCGAGTTTCTTGAAATGTGGAGGGTTGGCTTTCACTTCCGGTTCTGCTGAAGTTTGGACTGCATGTTCTTTTGATTTGATAATAAGTTTCTCGCTGCGCCGGCGATGGTGGTGAGGCTGTGTAGCAGTTGAGGAAGAAGCAGCGTTCGCGTTCGTGGTGTCGTCTATAATTTGCGAAGACCCGGATGAGCTGACTTCGTCCAATGGGAGCAGGTGACTTTCAACAGGCCCAACTGCCATTCCAACAAGGGGAGTTACGGGACGGTCGCCGCGATTTTCTTGACTTTCGAATGGGATGATATGATCCAATCTAAATGCTTTACCATCTGGACATTCGGTCAGGGAGAGAATGACTACACGACCCTTTTGTGACGCCGCTAGAACAACACCCAGTTCGGGGATCTGATGCACCATATTGAAGCGGTCCGCCATGCCAAAATTGGAGGTATTGCCGCTTCCATCCTGAAAGACAGGGTCATGTAAGATAAAGGATGCTTTTTTGGCGAATGGATGAGCAAACATGTGGACTACTCGTTCTGAGAAATGGAGGATTGGGAAATCGGCGAAAATGAGGGGTCTGTGGGTATCTGCTTCCTCTGAACCAGACAACCAGCTTGAAATATCCGGGAAGATTTTTTCTGGTGTATCACCACCCTGGCTATGTTGTTGGAGACTTTCGATCAGAGTAAGGTCGGAACCACTTCCGCCATTTTGAAACGCTGCGTAAACATAGTTGTGAAACCCCGCATAGCTTTCAACTACGCTGTCAACGTCACCACCATGTTCACTCTCGCCTTCAACTTCCCCCTCCTCCACCACCACCACCTCCTCCTCCTCCTCCGGCTCGCCCTCATCTTCGCTATCGGCCTCCTGGGCATCGGAATCATCAATATCATCGAGTTCATTTTGGGGCAAGTCTTGTGCTGTATCTATTACAGAAACAAGAAGGGCATCGATGAGCTCAGCGTCTGTGAGGAGATCTGGGGAGTCGCCTTGAAGAGAGGGAAGCGTATTTGCGACGCTGTCTGAAGGAGTCTCCATCAAGGACTCTACCGCTGGTGAAGCCGGACGAGATGAGATATCTATATCAGATCCCATTGAGAAGTTCCCATCCAACTCCTGGTCTTCGACGCGGGAATTATCCGGATGCTGTCCATCTTGCCGCGTATATCGCATGCGTTGGGCAATTTTGCTCAAGTCATGGACATTGTCAACATCGGCGAGTTTGTGCGGAGTGCCACCACAGGCAATTTGAAGCGTGGCTTTAGGCCTAAAACTCCGCGGATCAATTGCTAGAACATTCCATCCCACTCTACGGCTAGGAGAAGACAACATTTAGTCAAATATTCAGATTTAAGCAGGTGGAAGTAGCCTCACTTGTCATGTTGGGTACCAGGGTGTTTGCGAAGGCCCCGCTGAAGATCAATGATTTTCACAGGGGCCGGATGATGCCAGATATTGAATAACATGAGTTTGTTACTGATATCAGTACTAACCAACCAGTCACCATAGGGATCAAGATCGGAGTTTAAAAACCCAATGTTCGGGATGTTGTATCGATGGCCAACTAAAGTGAATCGGATATTACGTGCGCGGCGTTTATCTTGGCTCATCCGACGGAGTGTGCTATACTGCGATTCCAGGCTTACATTTGTCCATTCCAAGGCGTCACCAGCAGATGTAGAATTACGAGCATTCACCACATTTCCAGCAGGTTTCTCGGGAGCTTCAGGATCCACCAATGCAAAGGCGTAAACTGTAATACACCATGAATTCGAGCTCACGGCGACGAGGCGAGCATTTGTGTGTACTGCAAGTCCCCAGGCACTCTGGCCCACCCAGTCGCTGAAAAAACACTCGACTAGCTCTCCAAGTTCTCTGGGTTTATTAATTCCAGTGACACTGGCTTCCTCGATGACCACGAAGATTCGCTCCGTCCGGTAGGCTGCCACGTTACCATTATCGGTAGCAAGGAGTAATATCTCTTCATGACCGAGATCATCGACGCGAATAACATTTATGGTTTGTGGATTTTGTGGTGTGATGTAGGCTCGTGCCCGAGGATTTTTCATTAAGGGTGTTATTATCATTTCGGGCTGAGGCGCAAGCGCCCGTCCGCGGCCAGATGGTTTGTAGACATAGATTTCATCACCAAAGGCAACAAAGTAGAGGTTGCGGTACTGAGATAAAGCGGTCTATAGAGACATTGTCAGCTAGTAATGGCGGATATGTCGCAAGAATATCTATAAAATGTACCAGATTGTTTCGCCAGCTAGAAGGTCTCAGCAGAAGCGGATCGGATCCTCTAACTCTGGAACAATATCATCAGCCAACGTTTGAGTTTGTTCGTCTTCCAATGACATGGGCATACCGCGGAAACTGTAATCTAGTTAGTCAATCAATAATCTACTGCAAGTAATCGTAGAGTGTCCATACATGGTCACTAGCTAACTCGACGCCATGCTCTTTCACATAGATCACCTCATCACGCTTTCCAGCTAGGTAGACGTCAAGGGAGCAGCTCCTCTTTGACCTTTGACGCTTTCCTCGCATTGGGAACATCGACTGTTCCACACACTCCACATCAACAGAAATTTCGTAAGCTCTTTTCCAGAACAAGTGGCGGGGGATTCACACTGTCAAGTTCGGCTGAGGTTTTAGCTGTCCACAGTAAGGGAAAAATTGGAAGGGCCAAGGAAATAGGAATTTAACGCTGCATGGTCGATATAGGTGCACTACTGTGAGTATGAGTACTGAGTTGTCATGTCATGACAGACACCGAAGTTGGGAGGTTTTAAATGAACATGGGCGTGAGGTCATAGCGTGCTCCAATGTCAAGGCGGGGTTTAAATTTTACCTCAAAAACTTCACAGACCAAAATATGGCCTGTGCACACCAATGCCAAGCCTTAGTCAGTTCATAATGTGGGGTTGTTCATAGAAAGCTAGTCTGGAATAGGAAAGACTGAATTACGGCAGGGCGTTCAAATTTGACCAGTGCTTGGCATTCACCCTCTAAAATGCCTACGTAAAGATTACTAACCTTTCCTCCCAACATGGGGAGGGAAATGTCAATAAAAATTACCACATAATAATGTATCCAATAGATTGGAGTGGATGAATCCTGTGCTCCCAAACAGTCGTGTTCGGGTGGTCTCCAGGCTCCATAAAGCATGTGACGCAAAACTGAAATTACTTGAGATAGGGCTGGGTCATGTGCTCTCGTGCGCGGCTGCGCTAGGCCCCGATATTAAAGATCTGACTAAGCACAACGTGAAGATTAAAGTCACATGACATCAACCAAACCCGTGAAAACCTGGAGCTTAATTACGCCTAAACCATAACTACACACACATACGGTCTCCGGAGCAATACCTGCAAGCTCCCACATACAACTTCATTACTAAACATGGATCTCGTGGCAAGTATTCGAAAGGAGGGCAGTCGGTAAGAGAACTCATTTATACCACTTTCTATCCTTCATCTCCATGCAAAGTGAGAAGAGAAAAGACATACTCCAAACTAACCATCAACCAGCGGCGGCCGCGACTCTTTCAAATGGTCCGACGTCAAAGAATCTTCCCACCGCGAAAACTACCTGGGCCACTCCCTCATGGCCCCCGTTGGTCGCTGGCAGAAAAACCGCGATCTATCCTGGTACGCCAAGGGGGATCAGGAACGCGAAGATTCCGCCGAAGACGCCGCTGCAAAACAACAACGGGAGCGCGAGGAGGAGATTAAACGTGTCAAGGAGGTTGAGCAGGAGGCTATGGCGCGTGCACTGGGGTTACCGGTGTCGCCCAAAGGTTCCACTAACCCCAACATGACGCCGCTGAGCCGGAAGGAGGTGGGGAGGGCTATTAGGGAATCTGACGCGGCAGGCGGGGAGTGCGCTGGTATGGGTGATGGGGCGAAGGGTGTTGGCCGAGGGGGATTTGGTGGAATAAGCGGTGGTGGAGGCGGTGATGGGGATATGATAGAAGGGACAGGAATGGGTATGAAAGTTGTGGAGGAAGAGTTGGACCGGAGGAGGGAACGGGAAGAACGGAAGGGTCGAAAAGACGATGAGCGGCGAAGGAGAGACAGGAGTAGGGATAGAGATCGTGTAAGAGACAGGGGGAAAAAAAGCCGGAGACATGATAGTGAACATGATCGTTATGACAGACGGAGACGTCGCTCGACATCTAGGGATGCAGGACATTGGAGACACAGACATCGCTCAAGATCGCCCGATAGGCGCAGACACCGTTCCAGGTCGCGTGACAGAGACCAGTACAAACGGTGCCGTCTGTCTCGGTCGCAAAGTAGGGATCGTAGATCAGGGAGAGAGGAGAGAATTCCGCGCCGAGAGCGAACTCGGTCTCCCGCAGACATTCGCAGTAATCGTCACCTTCACAGGGGAAACAACAGCTACGGCCGACAGAGACAACGTCAGAAAGCATGGGATGAAACATTAACGAAATAATGAGGTTTGAAAATTTTTAATGGTTTGGCAGGCGTCTGGCGTTGGGGCCTCCCTTTTTGGAACACAACCTTTTATACTATTGTATGCACAACGTACTTCTACGGAACAGATACCCCGCAAATATCAAATAAACCCTTTCTATCTATAAAGAAATGAGAAAATTTCCTGTCAGTGGACGGTACTTTTACAATTCCTTATGTCCGCTCTTCTGTTCTGCGCTCAAATCAGGCATGATCATCATCTTCACCACCAAACTTGTCCATCCTGTGAAATGCTGCGTTCGTTGACCTGCGCCAGTCTCAGGATTGTACTGCTCCCAAGCGAATCCAGTCTTCTTCCACTGATCGAACACATTCTCCACAATATTCTTGCGCAGCTGGGTATACATTTCGCGGGCTTGGTCCTGATGCGGTCCTGCGACCCCAGCGACATCCTGTTTCCCCATGATAGTCAGCAAACTTTCCGATGAGCCTCAAAAAGAGAGAAAGAAAAAATATATATTGTACGGGCCCCACTTACCAGAAGGTTCTTGAGAATCAGGTAATTGATATTTATCCAAATGGGGCTCCTCCAATAATTCTCCTCCGTTCCATAGAACTTGTCCTTCTTGCTCAGACTACGAATACCATAATCACTCCACAGTTCTTCTGGATTCTGAATAAGATCAAGCACGGGTCCCAGCCGTGGACTATCAGCTGGTATCAATCCCGTCATAAAGGGAAATATCGATACGTATCCCTTATGGCAGACATGCACATGCTCCTCAGAATCGTCAATGGTTGCATCACAATAAGTCTGAGCAGCTTTGTCCCAGTGGAGATCGTCGATGTTCCGCGTAATCGCAGTCTCATAGAAGGCAAATTCCTCCATGTCCTCAATTTTCCCCAAGGCTTCAGCTATCCGTCGAATGACGCGGGTCATCATGCCCATCCAACTGATCAAATCTACATGCAATTCACCGGGATGGGGCGGCTGGGGTCTGGGGTAATCGTCAAACCCGGAAGCGAGGATGTGTCGGACAGATCGTCCTCGCCATCTATATGCTTCCCTCGAGGAGAAAGCTTCCCGGTCATACGACTTGATGTCGCCCCACTGTGTTTTTTTAAACCAGAAGTAGTGGCGTTTCAGTAATGGGTAGATGGAACGAAGATATGAAATAGCCAGGCCTGGATTCTCCAGGTGTATTGAACGGATATCAGAGAGCAAACCATGCATTTCAATCTGCTCATGGCCGATGGACTTGTTCAATTGGAGTTTATCCACAAATGTCTCAAGAATCATAAATAGGGTTGGTGGATTTGCAAAATTGGGGTGCTGAACTTGAAATTCAGCAGGCACTTTGCTGTGAGCTTCCGCACCCAAAATCTGTTCCCGTGCTATCCATCCATCCTCGTCCATGAGGTTGAACCAGCTCTTCATTATTTCCAGGCTAGGTCAAGTTAGTTGTTGATAGTAAGCTGGGTTAGGACCAGGAACATACGTTAAATCGAGGTCCCAGTCAATAATAGGGATTAAATGAAACCCTTCATCCCAGAGGAAACCTCGCGGGAAGAATGGCCGGGACGGGATGCTGGTGAATAGCTCTGATGGGCCTGCTAGGATTGGATCGGCTCGCATCCGTGCTTCTGCAGCCTCTTCCCAGAAACCCTCGTTTTCTTCTTCATATTCTGGAGCATTAGACCGGTCGACAAGTGAGTTGCCATAAAAGTATCCTATCCCACCAACCAAGTTCGAAAACATTGCCTTGGAAAACTCGGTATATTTAGGTGCGTTAAAAGGTGCCAAAGGGGAAAACACCTTATGAAACTTTTCAGAAAACGAGGCCGAAGCACTTTTGATCTCCTTAGTGAGCTTCGTTGCTGCAGAATGTTAGAAACGAAGGTACCGTCCTAACTTGTTTAAAGAACAGGGATAGAAAGATTCAACTCACAGGTTAATGCTTCCGGCGACGAATCTGACGAAAAGAGAATATCGAACTTCTACAAGTCAGCAAGTAATTATGGGGGAAAAGTTTATATGTATATATGTACCTCAAATGCGCCCTCAAAAACCTTCTGCACAAAATAAATATTCCCATCATCAGCTTTGTTGGCGATGGTAAATATCTGCGCAGGAGGAGGAGGTCCCTCTGTTCCGTGCTTATTCATGGTAGCGTCAATCTGCTCCTTCATATGGGTAAACAGAATACCTTTAAATTTCCAGGATAGAAGTCAGTGTATAGTTCCCCTCCCTCACTGCAAATAAGTGAATGTGAAATATAAGACATACCTTTCGCTTCCCAAAGCGCCTCTGATGGTATCCGAAGTCCCGCAACCATTGTCCTATCCAATGGCTTCTCGTCATAGGCTGCATTGCTTCGGGGAGGGTGTGCATTACTCTCCGGTCCGCGAGTGATGTCGACAGTGAAGTCACCAAGCCCCAGTGCAGATCCTTTGAACTTTACATCCCCTTCGTATCCCAGAGGGTCAATCTCATTCGCAACTTGGAGACTGCCCAATCCTTCCATTGCCGCGTAGAAAATAACCGTCGTCGCTTGGTTAGGAGGAGCATCCGGGCGGAGAGTTCCCTTGACACGGGCACCCCAATTACCTCCATTACTTCCACCGGGAACCTTTATAAAATCAATCGTAAGGTCTATCGTGTTCCCCGCATCGTGAATCGTCTGACGACCTCCCTTCCTAATATCGTACTCGTCCCATCCGTAACCAGCCATCCCTTCATTTTGTTCGCATGTATGTCTAAAGTCTTAATTGATGAAGTCAGTATAGATGATAGCCTAATCCATAATACAGTGATCTGTCCGCAGAGAGCGATGCCGAATACCTACTCTGCTGTGCAGCGTCAAAGTCATCCAGCTTCGCCCACATCAATCCCATAAGCACACTCTGGGGAATTCGAGGGCGGACCCCGAAATATAAATTCGGCCTATACGGGCCCCATAATAGCGATTCATTGGAGGCTCTTCCTACCTCCTTTGCCAAGATCAGGACATTGTCGTGGGCGGTTAGAGGGTCTTGCCTGGCCGCGAGGGAAGCGGAGGAGAGTAAGCAGCATAAAAGGAATCGCAACGCAAAAAACATTCTTAAAATAAAATGGAAACTAAATTTAAACCATCAGGGCCAAGCTTGAGCTACTCCGTACAGAGGGTGTGGCTATTTGCAGTGTCTTGAAGTTTCGGATGTAGAGGTGAAAACAGCCTCAGAAATGTTGCTATCTGTCAGTTTGTTGCGCCGCTTCAGCCACTAACTAAATAGTTAAGGTTATTTACAGTTGGTTGGTTGGTTTCAAGCTTATTTGTTATCTGCTTCACAGTTCTACACCCACATAACGTTGACGGTCACTTAGGTTTGCGACACTTTTATTTATATTTAAAAAATAGCACACTTCATTAACTGGAGACGGTTACAGAAATTGCCTCATTAAAACCCTATTCTCTCCCCTGTGAAGGAATTACAAACGGCTACAATAATAAATACACTCCGAAAGTAAGACTTGGGGCACTACATGCAGTATATATCATATTGGAAGAGAAACAGGAATACACAATAAAGGGGAAATATCGGCTAGGGGCAAGAGGAATACGAAAGGACAAAATTGGATAAATCAAGGCCTGGTTGTAACTATCAAAGGGGTAAACGCTCAGTTTGGGAATATAAAAGGAACACCTTTACCTGAATTCATGTCTTCCGCTTCCCAGACATTTATGAGCAGAAACCACAGACTCCATCAGCAACTTCCAATCCTAGAGTAGAACCCCATTTTACAGAAATTTCCTCGGGTCCAAAGCCCCAATACTCGCGCTCTTCGCCTCCCCTTCAAATACAAGCTCACTCATCAACTTCCCCGTCCCAGGTGCATTCTGAATCCCCCAACACGTATGACCTGTCGCCATAAAAAGTCCCTTAATACCAGTATGGCCGATCAACGGGCCGCCACGGGTCCCCTCTACGTTTGGTAAATAGCAGGCTTGCCGGGCAATGACCTCCCCCTCCCGCAGCACCCTCGATACACTCCCAATGGAATCAATGATATCTTGACACCGTGCCTCATCAACTTGGACATCTGCTGTCGTCTTGGGCAACGGCATTGTTGTATCACCTTCCCCACAAGCATAAACGCTATCGTCTGGCCGCGCGTAGATCTCAGGAGAGAGGACGGTCAGTCGCGAGCGCTTCCCTTTATCTGACGACACCATCCCAAAGCCCGCAGGCAATGTAATGCTTGTAAATAGCGTGTAGGCAGAAACCGGTCGTGTAGGACGAACAACAACACTGTGCGCGCGAAGAGCAGATATGGGCGCGCGGGGGAAAATGTCCCGTGTCCAGGGGCCTGCAGCAATAACCACATCCGTTGCCGGAATGGTATGCGAGGCGCCTGTTTTCTTCTCTGTAAACGTCACGGACTGCACAGCATCCGTCGAGTGATCGATATTTGTGACATGGCCTAGAGTTATCCTTACCCCTTTCTCCTCCGCCAACTTCGCCATGGAAGTCGTAAATAGAAAAGGATGAACCTGCGCCGTTTGCCCCGGCTGACCCATGTCTTCAAAACTCCTCAGTGTCGGCGCATCAAACCAGTCCAAATCCTCAGGAATACCAGCAGCTTTTAACTGCCCCGCTGCGTTATGGCTCCTTTTCTCTAATGGAACCGCCTCATCAGTTTTCTCCGCAGGTTCCTTGGATTTGTCGAGCTGAGGCCATGAGCAGCCCACCGCCTCAAGTTGTCCGCAATTAACCACTCGATAGCCCCATCTTGCCTTTCCATTATGCTCCCGTGCAAGTTCTGCGTGTAGTTTGTAGCTGAGAGGCACTATGTTGCTTGGATAGGCCCAGAGTGCGAGGAGCCCACCCGCCTTGCCAGAGGCCCCACCCGCAATCTCTGTCGCTTCCAGAATTGTAACCTTATGTCGCAGCGGGTCGTAGGATGGATGTCGCGTAAGGAAATAGGCTGTTGAGCAACCAATTATTCCTCCCCCTATGTGAAGTTGGTGTTATTTATGCGGTCTCTTTTTACTGCGGGTGATTGATGCGGGGTAGGGGGCGAGTAGGTAAGGGGTTGATTAGGTTACCTATCACAATGATGTGCCTCTCCTGGCCGCCCATGACGCAGCGAGATGATGCCCGAATGATATTGGACTTAAATGATTGGTATTTGGTTAAGATATATACAGTGAGAATATCTGATGTGGAACGCGTAGTTTTGAATGGTTCCTACGATGTTTCGTGCTCTAAATGCTGCAAAGGCAGGGCATGTTACGTCAGAATTCGGGACCTCAAAACGGGATATATAGAATTGGTGGGATTTAACAAAGAATAACAGTTCTCCAATGACAGGCATCCGAGATTGGGATTTACGATCTTTTTTCTGAGTACTACCTATACTGCCGATCATACAGGGATACGTGGGTGTGGAAAGAAGGAGGACGAAAACGAGAATATCCAAGTCGTAGATGAGATTGATGCCAAAGCTAAGAGTCAATAGTTATATCAACGCCTGGATCCAGAAAAATGATCACAACAACCTGAAGAAACAGAGAGAAACACGTAACGTAGGAAGAGTGACAAAAATGATAATGAAAAACATGGTATGAACTCGCTCGAAATACGCTTCAGAAGATGTATTGTTAATATATATAAAACAAACAAACCCCCTTTAAAACGCATGTCCTACTCATCGCGTCGGGCTCAAAGGCCTATTGAAACCTCCCTGTCGGTTCATATACTGTCTGTACTCCGTCTTCTTCTCCTTGCGAACCCCGTAGATATTATTCCCAGGTACCTTCGTATTCTGCGTACTTCGGAACGTCGTAAATCCCATCGTCTTCCGCATCAGCTGATCTAGCTCATCGGTACCCCCACCATCAATATCGATCTCCATACCGTCCTCCACGGCTCGGGATTGGGATTTGATAGAACTTAGTCGTTTCGATTCAGAAGCCACCCCATTAACCCCCGCACCCGCGTTCACCTTCCCCGGTTCGCGTGTATCTCGTCTATCAGATTTTACGCCCCGCGGGAGCGGTGGTGACCGTGATCTTCGAGATCTGGAAGAAGTACCATTCCGTGCCGGCGAGAGTGATCGCGACGGGGATCGCGATAGGGATCTATCACGGCCACGTTCGCGGAACCGACTAGATCTTCCATACTCTGCCAGTAAATATTAGTTAGTATACGAAGTTCATGACAGGACTTAAAGGGGAAACAAACAAGGCAGAAAAATGAGCCATACCCCGTCGACTGTATCTATCTCTGCTTCCGCTCCGATCCCGATCCCGATCCCGATCCCTAATCCTTTCTCTATCCCTAATCCTTTCCCTATCTCTCCTATCTCTCGATCTATTTTGGTCACGCCTCCTGTCATCCCTGTCCCTATCTCTGGACCGGGAACGATGCCGGCGTTCGTCCCCCCTCGACAACACGTTGCTCCGTCTTGCATCTTCCTTAGTAGGTGGCTCTCGTTTGGATGCATCACCATCTATATCTTTGCCTATACGATCACTCGGTCTGGATTTCGTGTCATTTATCTCCCACATGGTGGAGCTATCCGTCCTTCTCGCGCGTTTGGCTGGAGGTTCAGCCATGGTTTGTTGTGAGGAGGATGGGACAAGACTGGAGCTCGAAATTTTACGGTGAAGATAAACGGAAAATTATGGCAAACTAGATAGTGTAAATCCACTCCCAATAGGTTACTAAGTTAGGAGGTAAGGGGATTTAGTCATGATCTGTTCTTTTGTCTGCCCGCGAAACGAAAATGATGATATGTTGCTCTCTTAAACAGAAGCTTGAAGGTTTGTCAAAATAACTGGCCAGTTACTTGAGCTTACCAATCTTTCCTACGGTGGCCTGTTTATGCCATTGGTGCTGCTAATATCAATCAATCAACCTTCGATTTCGGAAGTGAACAGTGAAAGAGATACGGAGTACATCTAAGTAATCAAATAAAGCAACGAAAGGTCGTCAGATCTGAGATATCTGGGTTTTTGAAGATTCCCGTTCTATTTGTGTGGAGATATGCCGTCTACAAATGTCTCCCACCGCCGCACGCATAATCTTTTGCTCATGTCGAAACTACTTAGCTTGCGCGATTTCACATCTCCTTTAACACTTGTTTTAGATTTTCTAGAACAGCCCGCCTCTCCCTTAATTCGAGAATATATCAGAAGGGCAAAGGTAATATCCAACACTCATCTTAGTCCGTTGCTGTTGAATATTTCTCTCTTGTCTTTTGGTTCATATTCAAAGTCGATTTGTTATATATAATTCCCCGAATAAAAAAGAGTATTGCATACACAAACTCTTTTATATTCTTAGTCAATTTGCCGTTAATATTGGATACCTCCGTCTTCTGGGAGTATATATGTACACGATAAAAATTCTGCGTCTAATGTCATATTTTGAAAGAAAATCGCCGGGACTAACCATAATATACAACCTTCCAGCTATCGAAAGTCCATGTTATATTTGTATCCTTCTCCACCCTAATCCACCCGGATGGCGTCGACACATTTATCCCAACTCGACGAAAAAGCATGGCAGATATTGTGAAAGAGGTGCTCGTAAAATCATCACCATCACCAAATAACCCCACCGCAAGAAGTGTGTGGACCCTTTTACAAACACCCCATCAACAGCACCATGCTCATATCATCATTTAGGATCTCTTATAATTATCGATTCAATCAATTCAATGATATCCCGAAAACGCGACGGGACGCAACAGCTGAACTTGGCAGTATATCTGAGCTCTCTACTCGGACCTCCACCTGCCAGCCCACAGAGCAATTCGTATACGTCACTGATTGCCGTATACCACCAAGATATCCCCACACGTCCACAGAATCAGACATCTTACGCACCCTCACCGCTATCTCTATTAACATATCTCGCCACCACGGTGCTCAGCGTGCATTCCATGAGCCACATCCTCGCTGAAAAGGCTGCGAGGGACAGGAGCTTAATGGCTCCATCCTTTGGTCTCGCGGAGGAGGCGGACGGTATCATCATTGGCAGCGTCGACCATGGCAAGGGCGCAGACGATGATCGAAATGGCCTCGTTATTGAAATGGAGCATCGACGTAAAAGCGGTAAGGGGGTTGTGGAATGGTATTATCTCCCACCGGAGTCCAAGGTCCATCGCCAGCAGGGTAAGGAGATTGTGATGCTGCTGGACGATCATCCCCTGTATCGACGGAAGGAGGATCAGGAGGTTGTTGCGACAGAGGGCTGGGAGCCGGAGTCGACCTTTGAGTTGGGACTCACTGAAAGGCAAAAGAGGGAGAGGGAAGGTGTTGTGCTACCTTATTTCGATGCGCAGAAAGGAGAGGGACCCGGTGAGGGAGGGAGAATTCTTTATTACATGGGTAAAGATGATGATTTTGATGAGGAGGAGGATGAGATTTGAAGTGATTGTTCTTACATTGCGTATTCGGATTAGGAGTGACCAAGGAAATGATGCGCATTGCAATCTCCTGCACGCTGGAAATCACCGTACCTGGACGTTGCTATAGTGGGACGGCACTCCCAGTAGTTGAAGTTGACTGAGTTCATCTGCCATCGCCATAGGGCCATGCATGGCCTGTATGAAAGATATCACAGTGCCCACAAAAAGTACGTCGAGAATAAAGGTATGCTGGGTCTCTCTGATCAACTTCAAACAAGACAATGGGGTAAAAAATGATATCATTATGATTAAAAAGAGAGACGCTACTTAGGAAAACCGCCAGCAGATCAATATAAACATAATGAAACCGACAGCGGCAAATGGCCCGTACTACAACAAGATGCCAATTAGAAACCAGTGCTTTGATCTACTATAAGTCAAGTTTCAGATACCTACCTGTTTCATAAGCAACTCCCAATTTATCCGCACTGCCGCCTTGCGGTACTTCCGACTGTCTTCTCTTAGCCTGCCGGACATCTCTCCCATCCGCTCCAGACTGTCACCCCGGTATAAGAGGTCCTCGATATTCTTGGTCATGACCTTTGTTACATCTTTGAGCTCATCGTTGAGCTTGTCCAAGTTCTGGGATGTGCGACTATCCTGATATGTCTTCATTGTTCGCTGAATAAAATTGTCAAAATTAAGAAAGGCATAGGGTGGTAGCTTAGAGGAGAGGTATTGTGAAGCTGGGTAGGTGGTTGTGAATTCGGTAGCCAGGTCATCGAGATAAGTAAAGGCTAGTTTCCGCGGGTATGATTTGTCTGTGATGCAGAGAAAGCAAACTTCGTCTTGGATAATATAACTATATACATATAAGATTGAGAATATATAAGCGACTGGAGCTCCTGCGGCTATTTAGAAGTTTAAAGTAGCGAGGACCACGTCTACTCACTGGAGGTTGTGTTGCCCAGACTCTATGGTAGCTCGCGTTTCCGAATTACGGTTCAATCGTTGACATATCTTTTTGGCGTGCAATTTGATTTCGGACAATGCCTCTCCCTAGTAAATATATTTTCGAGTTAGAGAAATATTCTGTCGCCTTTCACTTCACCTCTCCTAAAGGGGGAGAATCCATCACTAAGGTGTGCAAAGGTAATAATGCGCAACATCAACCAGCAACACCGGGGGGATCACTCACCTGCTCATCATCCACAGAAGCCACAAGCGGGACGCCTAGATTCACCCAAAGCATCTGTTAATTCAAGGGACCAGCCAATATCTCTCTCCGTGTTACCGCAATAAGCAAAGGTTGGTCGATAAAACCCACCATCCAGCCTAGTAATCTGAGTTGATACAACCATCCTCGCACACAATCCGTTTCCTTTTCTCTTTAACTTGTCATCAGCTTCTTATCGCATTGTGGACTCCCGGTCTGAGAATAAATAACAGCAGCAGAGACGAACAGCTCCTTGTCCAGCTGTGTCTATCAAGCCAGATATTCGCTTGAAGCTTCCTTTGATAACGTTGGGCTGAGTCAGCAACAGCAGCGATGGGCCGGCCCCGTAAACAGAAGGCGGAGAAAAGCGGCAAAACCACGACTAGGCATGTCTATTATTATTCTATTTCTATTTTTTATTCTATAAGTCCAGCCTTTCCCTTACATTTTCTAGGCGAAAGCTGACTATATTGAAGACCGTGCGCAACCTGTCGTGCTTCGGGTGCAACAGGACCATCAGATGATGTTACGAATAAGACCTCCAAATCCAAGACCGCCGTCGCGAAGCAGCCCAAAATGACCCAGGCCGGTGTCAAAAAGGCCGCTGCCTCCAGGCGTGGCCCAGCTAGGTCTTCTAAGAAAGATCCCTGGAACGAAGAGTTATTGCTCACCAGTACCAAATCGCGCATTATCGGAGTTGATCTCGTGGTAAGTGACTAAGGTTCCCAATGTTAAATATTATTGATGATAAAAGGCTGACAGGATGATATTCAGAAACTCCTAGCCAATCCCAAGGCATGGACCTGTCTTGATGAGGATGAGAAGAAAGAGATTATAGCTTTACTTCCAGATGACATGCAGCGGCATGCTGTTACACCAATTCCCAAAGACGGGCAGGACCCTGAAAACTATGTCATCCCTCCCCTTCCTGAATCCTTTGTCCGCTATTCCAATAGCTGGCGTGATGCTGTTCGCCAATTCCAGATTGACTTGCAGACGGGCAGATATGATCCCGAATGGCAGCAGCAGGCAGCTGAGGCAATGGAGGAGAGAGCCCAGGGCATGTTCGATAAGTTCAAGGAGGAGCAGTTTGAAGAGTTTTGGGGACAGAAGCAGAAACTGGATTACACCGTTATTGCCGGAGCGAGTAGCAAGGTGAAGCTGGGGACTCTGGTTGAGAATGGTGTGGTGAGAGTCGGTGATGTGTGGAGATACTCAAGAGCCTTTGGTAGAGGCGGAGAGAAAATTCTATTGGAAAAGGAGGTCCGGGTTGGTGATACTGTATTTCCTGTTGGGTTTTAGGGTTTGCCACTAATCATGGTAAACAGATTATTGACCGCGATGGCTCTTCTCTTACTTTCGCTATTCCCCCGGGTCAACGTGTATTTCTATTTAATAACGCCGATCCCGTTAATAGGGATGACACCGTTTGCTCTGACATGAAAGCGGAAGCCTCGAATGCTTCAATCTCTGGTGATGTTAAGGACAGCACTTCAGCCTCTAACCAAGTTTCCGAGGAGCAGGAAGTTGAAGTTGACCCAACCATCCACTCAACTTCAAGCCCTGAACCCTCAAGGAACACGTTCAATCCACCAGTTGATGGCGCAATTGCCAATAGATCAGCGGCCTCAGTGATGGATGGTCAGGCTGACGTATCTGACAATCAAGCCGCCACTGAATCTACGCAGCATATAGGCCCTGCCATCGTATCCGTTGCTGCACCGGAACCTATGAACGTCGATAACCACAAGTGTAACTCCCGCAGCGGAATCACTGAGATCTCCGCTGATTCTGAGTCTGAACTATCTTCAGCACACATGAAAGACCAAACTGGCCTTCTGGGAACTGTTATAGGCGACAGTGGCGCTGTTGCACCTGGGCAAATGAATGAAGACGTACCGATGGACACAACATTGGAGGCAACTGCAAGTGCCTGCTGTTCCAATTATTCACAGTCGAAGGAACCGGTATCGGTCAATGGTCCCGATACTTTTGAGCCTGATACAAAAGCTGCAACTGCCAGTGCAGATGTTGTCACCACCAACCAACAGGCTTGCCTGGAGACTCAGGCTGCTGGAATTACTCGTGGAAACGCAGCTGCCAATGGCACTACAATGGAAACAGAAACCACTGCAGGACCTGCTGCTGAGCAAACAGCAAACCAGAGAGATGACGATACTATGGTTCAACCCACATCTGAAAATGTACCAGAGCCCTCAGCGGAACAACCAAGGAAAGAAACTATTCCCAAAGACATAATATTCAGCGGTGTCACCGGTCCGGGCGGCCTAGCCAACAAAATCCTCGAAATTGATGGCCGAATCACTGAGCCGCCCAATGGAAATGCGTGGAAGGAGTTTCGTTGCTATAGAGATAACCAGGATATGGGCAGCTTGTGGGAATGCAGACAGACTTGGTTTGTCAGACAGAAATGATCAAAGGGATTTGGAGAAGAGAACATCGGTCTCCTTTGGATTTCCGACGAATTCGTTGCTTCCAGTTTATCACAAGGATTTCCCCCTTGTCGATTTCTGATTTGACAGCAGCCTATGGCGCTTTTCTGTGCGCGGGTTATCTTACTCGAGATCTTTCATTTTGAACGATGACTTGTGTAATTTTAGTCTTGGGATCGAGATGACCTAAAATACGACTCCTTGACCCTCATAGCCTGTTCCGCTCAGTTCCACCCACAGTACGCTTTTTTACGCATTTTTTTCTTTTTTTTTTCTTTCCCTTCTTATTTTTCAACTACGAAATTTAGCAGGAAGGTAAATTACTGACTGGTGCCCTCTCCAGTTTCTTTCATTTTTATTTTTCCGTTTCTATTTTGTGCTATTTTAACTTTCTCAAGATCTTGGATATAATGTTCAAAATATAGTATAGATAGAATTGGACATGCCGTGCACTTCTTTTCTTCTTATATTTTACAAAATGGCACACAAATAAGAGATGAACCTGCGTTTGAAAACACCAACTTTGTCGCTACTTTGCTACAGCATAAATATCACCTGCAAAGAGATTATCGATATATAATGAGAAATTTGCCTACTGCTCTGATTTGGCACCATTTTTTAAAGTAATCGTAACCCATCATGAACAGCATAGCGTACCGACATTCCTCCTTCGATTCCAAACAACCACACGGATACGTGGACATATATATGTACACCTAGTTATCTCACTATAATGACAACGAAAAGAATACCTATAAAACATATAAACGTACATTCATAAAAATTCAAACCCCCCTTCCTCTGTACTGTCATTTCCTCCCCTACCAATAGTACTCCCACTTCCACCCCCAACATCAGAATTACAATGAATATCCACCGCACTGCTACACTCGATGAAATCCTCTAACTCCTCTGTCACCGTCTTCAACTTCTCTTTGACCGCTGCACTCCCCTCTGCGCCCACAATATGTCTAGCTGGTGGATTCTCATGCCCACCAATGGCAGTGATGGCATGTATGGTTTCCGACATCAACACGTCCAAATGCGCGGGGCTTAGAGGTGGATATAGCGATACTACTGTTTGTGCGGAGAGGGGTTGATGGGAGCCGGTGAGTTCCTCGTCATCACCAGCTGCTTGCTCTGCTTGTTGGCCTGGATCAGGGTTGTTGTCTGTACTTGTGTCTGAGGTTGCGTAGGCGTTAGGGTTAGTATCAGCATTTGTGTTTGTTGATGAGGTGGTGGAAACTGCCGGCGAGGTTGGGGAGCAGAAAGCAACCGTCTGCGTTGGTTCCAGGGATTGTCCATATTGCTGTCGGAAATTGGGGAGACGAGAGAGCAGGCCATTCATGATGTTGCGAAATAAGGGGGCATGGTTTGTGGAAGGGGAGTAGGCGGAGAGAATTGGCGGGACACTGGTGATAAGATTCGTGAGGATCCCAATTTCGATGCTACATTGGAGGATTGTGAGGCGGATGTTAAAAGGGGCGATTTCATAAGCGAGGCTCTGTTATTTTCATTAGACTTCTCTTTCCATATCTTCATTTGGGCGTCTATATGTTCGCAGTTTTCCATCAATCTTGCCACTCACTGGGTGTATGAGATGTGACACTCAGAGCTCTAATGGAGTACGTACGTCGCAAAATCCTTCCAGAGCCCAACCTGCCGCACAGTAAACCCCTAATCCAGGGGTACCTATATGACCGGCTAGGTGTAAAGATCAGACAAGGGTTTATACACCCTACAACTGTAGTTCAACCTACTGATGCCGCCAACAACTATAATATGGCCGAATTTCTGCCTCCTGAGCTGCGGTAAGACAGCCTTAATCAGATTCACGGGTCCAAAATAATTTGTTTCGAATTGGTCTTTGACTAGAAGCTGAGTCCGTTCTGATGCAGCAAGCTCCTCCACAGTACCAATTATTGCTGTGGATAGATTCTTATGTTAGCTCAATATGTAAATGGCGGTGATGGTGAAAAAATATATATATATAGAGAGAGAGAGAGAGAATAGAAAGAAAAGAAAAGATGAAGATGAAGAAGAAAAAAGGGGGGAAAGGAAGCATTTTCAAATCAAAATAAATGCTGAACGTAGATGGCTAGATCTACTAACCTACCTTGGCTTGAGCAGCAGATCAAAACGTCTACTCTTCCAAAGGCGCTGATAGCTTCTGCGATGATTGCCTGACACTCGTTCATCATTCTGCAAGCAAATTTGACCATAATAGATCAGCCAAGCCTTCTATTACATTAGGCCCTTTTTCCGCCATGCAGCAGGGAAAGCAGCGTCCTTCTTCAACCCCCTGTTAATAATTTGGGGACTCAGACCTGATGTCAACAACCACAGGTTTCATCCGCTCCCTCCATTTTGCATTGTGGAAAGACAGTTCATCCAAAAACGCTTTAAAATCAGCGCTACGGGGGTCTCCCTGCTCAGGGTCCAATCCCGAAATGCCAGCTACGACAATGTCACCATGAGCAATTAGCTGGCGAGCCAGCGAGATACCAATGGGTGAGCTCCCCGCTGACACAACCCATACCCGTGGCCCATCGTGAGCAGGAAAATAAGAAGGCAGGGGTCCTGGAGACATGGAGTTCTCCATCATTTGTATATCAAGCAGAAAGGCAACTCCGCAACCCTATTGGCCATATCGTTCTGTGCTGCTGAGATCAATGAGGAGTAAACGGAGGCTCACGACAAACAGGATATGCGGCCCACTGCAAAATCCAGAGTAACAAAGATATAGAATTCTTAAACAGCCATGGAGTAAAAATATTCACTCTCGCTGCTAAAGGAGAACCACGATATGAAAAGGGTATTTTGTATGGCATCTTTACCTATTCTTGGGATGAGGTGGTGGATTGATGACTAATCGCAGACGTTCCGTCTGCTCCGTCTCATGTTCCCTTGCGTGTTGCGCCCTCATTTGAGAGGCCCCGGACTACTCCCGGGCTTTTTTCTTTGCAATCGACCATCATACCTGGCATCTTGGTATATTGTCCAGCAGATCCAATATGTCGGGCCGTGGGCAACAACAAGAAGATCAGGGCTCAGGTGTAAGTATTCTCTGCTCCCGTCCAAACCATATTGCTGAGCTCGCAGAGCTGACCACGCAACACAGTCGTTGATCAGGTCTGTTATTCAAGGCCTGGCGATTTTCGGTGCAACCCAATTTTTTGTTACGCAGATATTTGGGTCGAAGTCCTCACAGAGTGGTTCTGGTCCAGCCCAACAGCAGGTATCCATTCCAGCATTCACAGACCGGCCTGATATCCATACCATTGCCAATGCCACGGACATTCCTTATCAGGTCGCTCCCATATGGCCTATGGACAGCTCCGTAGACATTGCTGTCTATGTCTCACCCTCTACCCATATTCCATCACTAGATACTGTCCCAGCAGATTCGAAGGTGCTCGAGGAGAGAAACTTCACTATCGGTGACTGGGAGGCGAACAGGGAAATCTCGACAGGTTTCAAAGTGCCCAAGGAGGTCCAGCAAAATGGCACACTCTGGGCGCATTTCTTTATGTCACTCACTGGCAACCCGCTGTATCCAAACGATAAGGGTTATAGCTCGGATAACGCTGTGTATTTCCGTCGACCCCTGAACCAATATCTCCCCAAAAAGAAGGTAAAAAAGCTCAAGAATCTCCTTAGCGGGGGTGGAACGGATGAGCCTGAAGAAGTTCCGCGAGTGACACAAATAGGATCGTTTTATCATCCCAACTTCACCCTTTCCGTCATACCGGATACCGGGGTTATCAACTTTCCTACCATGGCTCCAGCGTCACGGCAGTATCTGCAGCTGGAAAGAACTGGCGCGAGAGATGCTACCGGTCAGAACGGATGGTACTATCCAATCCTATTTGTCAATACGTTCTGGCAATTGAAGAGCCATATGACCGAACTAAACTCCACTGTTGAAACGCTACCCATCCATATAACGCTGAACAATATGAAGAATTGGAAATTTAACTTGTTGTCAAATATCGACGAGAATGTAAAGCAGAATCAGAGACAAGCCGCAACAGATGGCCCCATCCCTGCAGGCGGTGACGGAACTGAGTTTGAAACTTTCAAGGAGATCTTGTTGGACACGAATAGTTACCTGTTGGCTACTACATTCATTGTCAGCGTCCTCCATATGCTTTTCGAAGCATTGGCATTCAAGAACGATATTGTAAGCGAATTCCTTGTCAGGGCACATCCTATTATAATAGCGATGCCATGCTGACCTCAGATCAGTCCCATTGGCGTAAAAAGAAGGACGTTGTTGGCACATCGGTTCGGACCATACTCGGGAACGTCTTCATGCAAACTGTCATCTTCCTGTACCTGCTAGATAACAGCGAGGGCACTTCATGGATGATTCTCGGTGGTCAAGGTTTCGGAATTATCCTGGAAGCGTGGAAGATCACGAAAACCGTCGATGTGCGAATTCGCCGTCCATCACCAGGATCATCGTTTTCCTTCTTGCCTTATGTTATTGTCTTTGAGGACAAACATAAGCTCAGCGAAACCGAACAGAAGACTAAGGAGTATGATGAAATCGCTTTCAAGTACCTTTATATTCTCGCGGTCCCGTTACTGGCTGCATACGCTATTTACAGCCTCATCTACATAGAGCATAAGTCATGGTACTCTTTTGTTATCGAAACCTTGGTCGGCAGTGTCTACGCCTACGGTTTCCTCATGATGGTGCCTAGTCTCTACATCAATTACCGATTGAAGGTAAGAATCCTTACGCTACGCATTCGATGAAAGATAAATCGTATTTTCTCCTGCTAACATCCCTTTCCGTAGTCCGTCGCTCATATGCCGGGAAAAGCCTTAACTTATAAATTCCTCAATACCTTTATCGACGATCTTTTCGCATTTACCATAAAAATGCCTATGCTCCATAGACTTGCCACTCTAAGAGACGATGTTATCTTTTTCATCTGGCTGTATCAAAGCTACAAATACAAGGTTGACCCTAAACGAGTCAACGAGTTCGGACAAGGCGGTGAAGAAGATGAAGTCGAAGAAGTCAAAACCACCCAGCAACCCAAAGCGCTGGACGGCCCTGACTCCCCTGAACCGAAGCCTGAGGCAAGCGCTTCTGGATCCAAGACAAAGCAGTCTGCGCGGAAACGGAAGTAGATTCGATTTAGTATTGCCTGAGCAAAAAACATTGGCAGGGGCTTCATGATATGATAACAGAGAGCGCTTGTGATATTAATTTATCTAACAAATATATTTCTATTGAATAGAAATCAGAGGTCATTTCGTGGTCACCTTATGCTATATGGACGGAAAAGTTCAGAGATTTCTCTGTCTCCTGATACATGCTATCTTGTCTCGGTCCATCCAGCGGGCCTGAATGTTTTTATCCTGAATAAATTGGATGCTTGTATTTTGGCTTGAGGTTTTCTTAATGGCTTCCCATCAACTTGTTTCTGTTAATCTACAAAATTCCACAGACCCCTTCTCTTAGGCTTGAATTGGCGCTCTAGAGCCCCATACCTGTGGGCCACAAACATTAGGACTAGATAATTCGTTGCTTAGGGAGTTATAGTCATCCCGATTTATTATCCAGTATTAATCTCAATTTTGTATTCTTTGGCAGATATAGCGTTTCCAAAGGAAAAGTGTATATGGGTTGAATTCTCCATCCGACAATGTCCAAGGCATGTGATATCGTGTTCTCAACATGACAGTTTTCAATCCAAGATGTAGATGCCAGTTTCATGCATAAATTTCAGTTTGGATAATATCTTATATTCAGAGATTCTCCCGACCAATGCGACCACACTGAACAATTCCGGGCCTTCTAATATTTGGGCTTTGGTTGATAGCTCGTTTCCCCATTTCGACCAAACGCTTTGACGCGTTAGTTAATCGCGTCGCAAAATCCAAAACTGCGGACGTAACTTAATTAACGTTATGCCAGTTCCAATGGCGATGAATTCGTCTCCACAATTACAATTTACATTTCCAAAATATAAGGTCCCAAATCTACAAGGTAGCTCTTGTCCACCAAACCCGTATATTCTTCTTCTCTTTCTCCCTGACTCGTGAGATTGTATGAAGCTGTATGGGACCTTGGATAAGCACCTCTCAGCCCCAGGAGGCATTTTTTCGCTTCAATCTAAGCCATAAAGCACATAAAGAGAGATCATGGCGCGAGAAGTACAGCGGGGTACAATTCATCTGAAATCCTAGTTGAATTTTGTGCTTCAACATCTAACCTATTCAACCAAACAGGAACCGAATTTGCGTCACAAGACATGGAAGACGCAATTGAGCAGCTGGAAAATGGTAGCGATACTTGTATCCCTTTCATATGATATACATCAAAACAGTCAATTAACACGTACGTACATGTAGTTGCCTCCATTCCCGCGAAACAGCGGCGCACAAACGTCGCTGACCTCGCGAAAACCATCGCGTCCAATGCGTATGAGTCTGGCATTCCAATCCGACTTTTAGACCGCCTGATTACCATCATCTCAAAGTCTAAACACTTAGACCAAACCACCGTAACCACATTGATAAAAAACCTTTATCCAGCTGAGCGTGTTATGCCTGGCACTGTCTCAAAAGTCATCAGCTGCTTTGGACCCGGCAAAAGCAAGCCGTCACCAACAACCCAGGCGTTGCTCCTGAGATGGCTCATCTTGGTCTACGAGGACATGGAAGATCAATCGTATCTATCAAGACTCTATGCTGTTTTGTTCAATTTCCTGGACATGATCAGTCTGCGCCGGTTACTATGCCATCTCCTCTCGCTAATAACGCGCAGGAAACATATCAGACCATTCCGCATCCAGGCGATCATGGAACTCATGCGGAAAACCGGGGGCGAGGAGAGGGAACTCCTGGGGCTGCTGAAAGTTTTCAAGAGCTATTATCCTGACATCATCGTGGGGGATGCCTACGCATCGGCGGGACGTCCAACTTACTTCTTCAAGCACCCTGACCCCAAGTGGGTTAAGCAGATGAGACATGTTCAAGAAAAGACTGCTGCCGCGGGACTTTCACGGAAAAATGACAGCGCTCCACAGACGTTTCAAGCTGTGCGGCGCGGGAAGGTAAAAAGGAGTCGAATTGAGGTTGTCATACCTGCCGTTCAGACGTCGCGTGTCAGGCAAGATTTCACGTCGTTGGAGGAACTGAGGAACGCGAATGATTTCATTCAGAAACTGGATAGGATTGAACTGCCGAATCAGGTTGCTGCGGCATTAGTGGACCCCCTGGCACAGAAATTCTTGCTACTTGTAAGGAACGAGGGGGCAATGCGGAGGCTGGAAAGCTGGTTGGATAGCTTTTTGGAGGAGGAGCTAGATAGAATACGGGCGGGGGAGGAAGGATATGAGGCAAGTGATGATACGGGACATTTGGAATATGTTCTTGATGTCCTGGTTGGCTTTGTACGTTTTACGAAGGTAGGTGCTGTTTTTCCTGGGTATGTTTGCTCAAGTGACAATGTTTTTATTGACTGTCGTTTTCTGTAGAGCATGCCTCAAGCCGTGGACAAGTTTCTACGCAACTATCTGATCTCCTGGAATGGTCATGATAGTCAAAGTGCTATTCTTGGGCTCCTAGAGTACATACCCTTACAAAACTACGAGACGCTTCGTGAGAACTACTTCACTCCACTGGAAAACGCTATTATAAATGAAAAGCTGGCCTCAAAAGTTCTAATACTTCAATATTATTCCTCACTAATCCAACATTGGGGTGCTATAATACGCGCCACCCCCTCTCCGTCATTCCCTATTCCCCCTCTACCGGAAGTCATTGGAAGGGCAGAACTGCTTGCCCTAACTATACTCGAGAGCCCTCAGCGACCTAAAAGTGATGGAACTATGCATATGCGATCCGGCACATTAGCCGTTCTTCAATTTTATGCAGGTCTTGCAGCGCTTTACAGCTATGCACCCACGAATTGTAACATTCGCATCACTGTTCCGCAAATGCAGATGATATATTTTCTTTCGTTTACACCAACACTAAGCCATATCTCGACACTATGTTCTATATTGGCCGCATATAAATCTGCCTTCGAAAATTCGCTAACATCAACGACGCTGCATAACCAAGGATCACCCGATCAATCATATCCAATAGAGATGGTTTCTCGGTTTAACGGCTACGTGATGGATATCTGCAACCTCCTCTGGCGAAACAGAGGCCTAAACTCGGAAGATCCCAACGCTTTAGGTTGCCTCGTTCCAACCGCCACCGTAGCGGAGCTCTCGCAATATCTGCTGGAGTTGAGTGAAAGGCCGGGGCGTGATAAAGGTGGCGTAAAACACAAATATCAACTCTCCTCTGTCTTTTCATTGAGCCAAAACGTTGCACTTTGCAGAGCCTCATCAGCGTGCTTTGGAAGAATTGAAGAAGAGCTGTCAGAAAGTGAAGGGAAATCCCTGGCTGTGAGATTGACAAGGCCCGTCACACAAAAGGGACTAGCTGCGCTAGATAAAGATGGGGGGATAAAGATAACCTGGCAGGAATATAGGCTACGGATGCTGGAGTGGCTGGACGAAATGGGAGCGGATGGCGTTGGAAATCTTATGCGGAGTACAATGAAGGCATTGCGGAAGTAGTGTACCAGACGCACGAAAACATCAAGGGCTATCGTTTCCGCAACACATATCCTCCCCCACCCTTTTCTTTCTTTTTTTTTTTCTTTTTTTCTTTTTTTTTTTTTTTTTGCTATGTCATTGTTGAGTTGGTGTATATATCCTGGACGCTGGAATCCTCGCGAATTGCATTGAGGATCTCTTCGATTTTATGTGTATCTTCTTCCGATTCCAATTTCACAATCGTATCCTTATTTGGGTCCCAAATAATGTCCAAAGTCTCGATTTTCAAACCAGTCGTGACAGAAAGTTTATCACCGACGGCCTTTGTATCTGTGTGCTCCGTGAATACTCTGAGCCGGCCTTGGTGATCAGTATCCACATCAATGGCGCCTGCATCAATGGCATGCTCCAGATAATCGTCCACATTCAGACCTTCCACTTTCTCAAAAACGATCCTGCCCTTCTTCTCAAAAAGGTAGCTTGTAGGCGTAACAGTTCCTCCGTGATGTTTAATTAGAAAACGCAGATCCTGTAGTGTTCGTGCCTTTTGATCCGTCATACATTCAATTACGACAGCAACTGACCCGGGAAGAAGTGCTTCAATGGTTACAGATTCCAGAGCTGCACCCGTAGATGATACACCCTGACCCCGCGCAATGGCAGCTTCAATTGTACTCTTAGACATCCCACTTCGTTTCGCTTTCGTGATTACTAAGGCAAGGCGTGGATTCAAGCTTGGATCTGGTCCAAATACTGTGTAAAGGACTGTCAACATAAAAAGGAGAAGAAACTAACCACATTGAGAAATACACTCACATTTTGATGCATTGATTATATCTCTAGCATATAAAACTCGTTCTTTACTCTTTGCAGCATCGTTTTTGCCCTTGTCATGTTTAATCGTGGACCATCGGCTATGACCAGCCTGGGCTATTGCAGATGAACTAAGATACCGACAGTTTTCACACATCCAAGGGCGGACGGCTCGAGGCCTTCCCAGAAACCTTAAACCAAATACAGACGCCATGAGACCAACTAGAATAGAGAAAGCAAAGGACGATACGATCAACCGGAGGAGTTATATCAGCGTCCCCGGGCAGATTGCGGATTGTAGTTTTTGCTGCAAAGTTCCTCATTGAATTGATTGTAGTCATCAGTTGTGGCTCCGGGTATGACGTCGGCCCGAAAATTGATCCGCATCCTGTTAACATGTGTGGAAAGTAAGTGTATATCAGACAAACGACAGCCCTCTTCGCACAGAACTCGAAACCTACACCTCGCGGCAAATTGCAGAGACATCTCGACGCATTCATATGAGGGTTCGGAATCAATGTCGGCTACCGAAACCACTGCTGCTCCATCTGCTGCGCTAGACACGACGGTATCCTGCACCGAACTAGACGTTTCCAAGCTCCATGCTCTCCCCTCCGAACAGCAAGAGTTATATCTCCTTACCTTCACCGCAGACCTAGTTCAGTATACCGCAACGCTTGATAAGACGGGACTAATCTCTCAACAACGATTTATTATTCAAGAATTATTTAAAATTTTAAAACTTTCGTCACCTAGCCCTACTAGAGTTATACGAAACAATGTTGGCCGATGTTTCAGTGCTATCTTCAGCAAAGGGGACCGAAGTACACTCTACGACACGGTGACACAACTCTTGGGGATACTTAATGCCGGGAAGAATGACGCGGAACTAAAGACGAAGTATGCAGCCGCCGTTGCGATAGGGGACATATATACGGGTGCTGGTGACAGCCTTTTTACCCAGTCGAATGTCGTCTGCTCCGCGTTGTTGAAACTCTTTAAATCCGCCCAAAACCATGCTGGATTAAGGAGTTCGCTATATACTGCCTTAAAAAAAGTCATTGCGGGGATTGGTTCTCCCTTGATTGAATCGACAGCGAAAGATATCTGGAAACATTCTCGACATGCAGCCACGAACGATAAGGCCATCGCTGTGCAAGCTGGCGCCTGCTATTGCCTTGAACAGTTGATTAAAACCACTCCTTATTTTGGCACACTGAGTGATTTTGAGGGTCTGAAAGTTACTATTTGGAAAGTCATCGAGAGTCCTAGCCCTTCTGTAAGGCATGCGGCCGCCTCCTGTCTTGCTGCCTTTCTCATTAAAGCTTGGGCCCACGGACGTCAAACACAGAATGTGCCGACCATTCGACGGCCCAAGAAGCAACCCAAAAAGAAACCAACTTCTGCTGATAATGATGAGGCACCAGAGAGATCGCAGTCTCCTTCAAGTCGAAAAGCGGACGTTCACGTTTCATTTCAACTTTCTGACCTCCTGAAACAACTTTCAACTCAATATTGCAGAAGTTCAACAGGAAATCGAGCTAGGGCAGGAATTGCCGTGTGCTATAAACAGATCCTGAGAAATATTGGAGACAACCTTGTTGAAGAACATTATACCGAAATTGCTGGTCACTTTCTCGTCACTCTTCTGAATCACCCAACCATTAATTATAATCGCTATCGTCTCCTCATGACTAGTAAATATGTAAAGAATCTCTTGGAGGATACCGTTGGCCGTGAAATCCTTCGAGAGAATAGTCAACTCAACGCCGCGAAGTGGCTGATTAATGGCGTGCTTAAAGATTATCCACAGGTAGTCCAGGAACGACCTGAGCCTAGCAAGCATACGTTAATAGGCGCTCTAAGTGCATTGTCTTCTATCATATCATCCTTAGGCTCAGCACTTTCGGTGATTGGGGACAGCTGTCGAGACGCACTCCTCCAAGTCCTCCAACACCCCGGTTATACCGTTCAGATACACACTACTCAGTGTCTGCGCAACTTTGTACTTGCATGCCCTCAGCAGCTTCTCCTCTGTGTAACAGTCTGCATGAATAGCCTTAACAGGGAGCTTGGCCAACTGTCCACTCCACGGCAGTCCACACGACGATGTCTTGGATATGCCCACGGGCTTGCGGCGATGTTAAGCACATCTCGTCTCCAACCACTTTATGGTTCAGTCGACGTGTACGCCCAGGTCCTATCGCGAGCCACAGATCTTTTGAAATCAAGTGGCAGCTCTGAACTGAGGATTGCAAGCACTCAGATTCAGATAGCTTGGGTTTTAATTGGCGGCTTGATGCCCCTAGGCCCTAGCTTTACTAAAATACATCTCAACCAGCTCCTCCTGCTATGGAAAAATGCTCTTCCAAAACCTCTGCCTAAAGATAATTTAGCACAACGTGGTACTCTAGAGATGAGCTTTTTGGCCCATGTTCGGGAATGCGCTCTTAGCTCGATCTATGTGTTTTTAGAATTTAATAGCAAACTCGTTACTGCGGATGGGTCAAGGCGCATTGCCACGATGCTACAGAACACAGTTATGTTTTTAGACAGCCTTCCGAAACTCAAATCTGCGGAGGATATATCTCAACGATTATCACCCTCGCTACAACTAAAAGACTTTGCTACCATGATTCGTCGGCGTGTATTGCAATGCTTTTCGAAATTAATCAACCTGGAACATGCAAATCCAGAGGTTCTTTCACTATCAAATATCTTAGGTCTGGCAATCTCGTCTTTCGCCGATCCAGATGTTATTTCGGCAAACCCGTTTGATACATCTATCGCTGCTTCAACTGCTCATTTTGACAATCTTTGGGATCTCGATGACAATTTTGGTTTTGGAGTTACTGGCCTAGCACACGAGTTTGCCGTCGCGACCCTCTCAGGGCATCATAAAGGAGACAACTCTCATGGTTGGATGGCGATGGAGTCATCGGACCAAACAATAGACAATCTGGTAAGTCTTTTCAGTTGAATGCCGTTGTAAGTAAGAACTCTAACTCTCAAATTTAGTTAATGTCCCCAACATGTCAAGCGATGGAACACGACTCTGTACTCTTATATGCTGTTACTGATCGAAAAAATGGCATGTATACCGACCCACCAGACACTGAAGTCGTGAATGCAGCTATCGCTCTATTCGCAACGGCTCTGCCGTTGCAGTCCCCGAAAGTTCAGGAAAGTAGTTTGGAGCAAATAGCAGCCTTACTCTCAGCCCAAAGTCTCAACCGCAATCCAGGACGCAAGTCAGCTATGACAGTTAATATTGCTATAGCTCTACTATTTACTCTTAAAGTTGCACTTAATGAGACCCGATCCGCTCCAGGAAGCCTAAAATACCCTGCAACAGAAAAGGTTATGCAAGAGCTTATACAGGTAAACATCGTCCCCTCCCATAATCGTTTCCACATGCTGACAACAGGTAGACTTTCACTACTCATCCTGATCCAATTGTGCGGTGTATAGGGTGCGAAGCATTGGGTCGTTTATGCAATTTATCCGGAAACTCATTCACTAGTAACCAGATCAACTCTCTTGTCGATTCGATCGTGGAAAATCGTGATCCTGGAACCCGTGCTGGATGCGCTATAGCTCTAGGTTGCATTCACTCTCAAGTCGGTGGTATAGCTGCCGGTTTCCATTTACAGACTATTGTCGGTGTCCTCATGTCGCTTTGCAGCGACCCTCACCCTGTGGTGCATTTCTGGGCTCTTGAAGGGCTAGGAAAAGTGGCATGGTCCGCTGGGTTGACCTTCTCTGCCTATGTATCAAGTTCTCTCGGCATGCTGGCGAGGTTATATATTTCAGACAGCCACAATGAGGAGGCTTCATCTTTGGCAACATCCAACCTCGAGGTCGCGTTTCCATCAACTGTAGCTATCGGCCGATGTGTTGAGTCGCTTATCAATGTCCTCGGTCCTGATCTACGGGATATTTCAAAAACTCGGGAACTGGTTTTCACTCTCGTTAAGGAATTTCAGTTAGAGAAATCTACGGCTCTGATTGCGGAGAGCTCAAAGTGCTTGGATCACCTATCTCTATACGCTCCGAACCACATGGACTTCTCTGCATATGTTCGGTGGCTTCAGCTGGAACTTGGATCAAAGAATGCGCTGATTCGGGATGCTGCTATTCGGGGTTTCAATAACTTGATGAAGAGGGATGCCGATTTGGTCACTAGAACTGCATCTCCTGGTCTTGAGGATGAATTATGGCTTGCTTTTGACAATGCGTCGGATAGTGAGGTACTCAAAAACATTATCCGTAACTGGTTGCAACAAACTGGACTTACAGATACCGATAATTGGATACAGAGGTGTCAAAAAGTTCTTATGAAGACCCGATCCAAAGTTGATGATGCGCCTGCACCCACAACAGTAAATACTGCCGCTCCTCATGATATTCCAGATGACGAAGTAGCAGGATTTGCCACTGCAGTTGTAGGCGACCATGGCGAACCCGTCAATAAGTCCACCGCTGGCCAAGAGCTGCTGAAATGGCAAACAAGAAGTTTCGTCATGAGCTGTCTAAGCGAACTTTTGTCAATGGTCAGCAAAAAATTATTGCCTGATCAGACTATACCTGCGGAAATGGCGTTACAAGAGAGGATTGGCGATATTATTCGAATGGCATTTTCTGCATCGACTGCCCAGGTAATTGAACTTCGGATCTGGGGTTTGAAGGTAATTGATCAGGTATTAAAGGTTCGTAAATGTCAATTTACCATCTCAGAAGGGATCTGTTGAAACTGAAAACTACTTAGATGTTCGGCAAAACCCCAGATCCTGATTTTTCAGAAGTTTCACTCCTGGAGCAATATCAAGCTCAAATTAGCTCCGCGCTAACCCCCGCCTTCGCTGCGGATTCATCCTGCGAGCTGGCTTCGGAGGCTATCAATGTTTGCGCTACTTTTGTTGGCACAGGGATCGTAACTAATGTAGATCGGATGGGTCGCATTTTCAAGTTGCTAGTTGTTGGGCTGGAAAACTTTGCGAGTATGTACTCTCCCCAGATTTACATTTCACCTTTTACTAATCCCCCCGATCTATAGAAAAATCAGAAATCAGAGAGATTGGCGATCTCAAGGGGCTAAACTCCAATGCACGTGTCATGGTGAAGTTAGCTTTATTCTCTGCGTGGGCTAGGTTACAGATAGCCAGCAATGACCAAAATTACCTGGCTGAGATCGTTCAACCGTTCACTGCTATTCTTACCCCCTTGTGGCTTTCTTCCCTCCAAGAATTCGCACGCCTGAGATTTGAACCTGAAATTTCGATCGCACTTGGGCCAAGCGCTTCTGACAATTTGGACGACGTCTATGCATCCTTGAACCGAGAAACTTTGTTGAAAGTATGTATTCCCAACCAAGAATTTCGCGTGCTATGCCACTGATAAACATTTTCAAAAATTAGTTTTATCAAGATTCCTGGTTAAATCTAGTTGATGCTATTGCGAGCCTAGTCGAAAAAGACAGTGAATTTGTCTTTGATGCCCTTGATGGGAAAATCGAATCTCCAAAGGAAGTAACTGATGCCGATAAGCCTCAGGTAAATGGGGAGAAGAAGGGAAAAGGAAACCATATCAATTACCGCGACGAACCAGTGGCATTCTTTTTTGTTCTCTTCGGTCTTGCCTTTGAGGCTCTTGTTGCGCAAAGCAATAGCCACTCAAATCAGAGACTGGAGATTCTACGGGCTTTGCAAAAGATCCTACATCCCTCCGTTGCTGGGAATGCCGTTTATCAAGACGCTGTATTTTCTGAAACTATGGATACCTTGGACAGACTAGCAATGACCGAAGGATTTAGTATACAGACTGTCATTGTTCAAATTGCCCGCAACTTGGCTCTCCATCATCAGTCCGCGTCAAGCAACGAGGCGCGACCCGAAAATCTCTCGGATGATATCGAGCAACTGTTCGAACTCACGCGGAACATCATTCTAGTCCTTGCTGGACTCCTCCCAAACCTAGGCGAATCTTCCAAGCCCTCACGCTTCCACGTATCTGACGACGCTGCTTCCCTCATCAAACTATCCCTCTCTTCGCTGGTCGACATTACATACGTTTTCCCCTCCATAATCCGCTCAGACCTCCGTGCCTGCATCTTGCACATATTCACCACAATCCTGGCCACAGGCATCTGCCAGGCTGAAGTCGTCCCTCAAGCCCTCCCAATCTTCCACCGCTTCATCCAGGGAATCTCTTGCCCTCCACCGCCAAACACCTCCCCAATCCCAACAACCCCTGCCCTCTCCATGCACCCTCCTCCCTCCGAGGATCCGCAAATAGTGTCCCGCCAAATCCGTGGCTGCATCTCCTGTCTCCTTCAAACTCTTACAATCGCCCAACGCCGCGAATCGGAAACATCTCTCCCTTGTGCCAAAAATACTCTCCTCTCCCTAACCATCATCCTCACAACTAGCAGTCACCAAATCCCACCACAAGACCCCTTAATCCCCCGCGTTCTTTCCGAATTCCTTGACTGTTTGCAGGACTTTGGCCTCGCCACAGTCGCTGCGGGTTGTCTACGCTCAATCCTTCTTAGCCCTCAAGCCCCAACCCCGCGCTCCGCGACTGACGACGCAATAGCCCGCTTCCTTTTACCCCGACTCATCGCGTTCATCACTAGCATGCCCGCCAGCGCTGGTAGTGAGCATGAGATACCCGTTGACCCCGAAAATGTCAAAGGAGTCGTTACCCTTGCTCTTGTATCGTGCATTGGATCAGGCACAATTGCGCCGGGTGGAGTGCCAACAGCATTGGCCTTAATTATCCCTGCGCTGTTGGTTCGGGCGAAGAATGAAGGGAAGGGTGCCTATAAAGAGATAGCCGCCAGGCTTCTTGAACTAGCGAAGATTCACGCTGTAACATTCAGAGCCGTGGTGGCGGGTATGGATGCTGAGCGAAGATCTTTTACAGAGGACATCCTGAGGAGTGGCGGGATTGTTGGCGATGGCGGGAGGGAGGGGAGAGGTGGCACTGCTGCGGGAGTGGAAGGGGAGGAGAAGAATGTGCCGAGCATTGCGCTCCGGATGGACTTTTAAGCCTTTATGTCCAAAATGCTTTTGGAGAGCTCCATTAGTTTATAGTGATGCATTCGATAGGAGCTGGTTTTGCAGATGCATGCGCTTGCAAACCTATGTTTTTTCACGAGCTATGCATTGGCTCTGGAAATAACGCCGCTGTCCTCTTATTATTCAGGATAAAAGGGGGTTGGCCCAACTGTCGGCCCTCCCCTCTCCCACAAACTCCGTTTATATAAAAGCTGGTCTTTGTTCTGTTATGCTGAACTTTAGCTGGTTTGCTTGTACATGTACCTCCGCGGCTTATAATTGCCCTTCTGCGAACGAACTGTGGGGAAATAGATATGGAAATTAATGAATACTACTAGATAATATTGTAAGTTCGGTTTCTTTCTTGCAATCATTATGAAATGGAGAACCCGTTTGATAGCTTTTTCTGTGGCTTCAGTATTGCGTGTCCCTGATCTTTGAGCAGAAGCAGAATCAATCATATCACTATTTTAATCGAAAGTGATAAGAGCACCGCTGCTCCAGTTGACAAACCAATAGTCCCACTTATCTATATACTAAGTTTGGATATATACAGCTTCTGAAACAAAAGGAAACAAAATAGAAGCCCGTGATCTAAAGGTTGAACCTTGAAGAAAATCACGGGAGGGATATATGTCTAGATCAAAAGGAATGTTCGCTACCAACAACATAAGGAAAGGTAGTTAGCATATATATATACATATATAAATATACTTCTAAGATAGCAATGCAATTCATGCCCTTGTTTGTTCCTATCCAATTGGCTCAGTAACGCTGGATTCTGGGCGGAAGTTAGACTTCAACTCTAGGTCAGGGAAAGGTTGAGGAATTGTTTTCGATTCAGCTTGTGAACCTTTCACAACTTGGTCCTTTTCATGAAGTTTGTATAAGAAATATCTAAGGGCAAGAATAATCATGCCTAGAAAGTGTCAGGAAGGTAAACCTCAGTCAGACGGTTATTGTCAAAGGAACAAAAACAAACGAAACAAAAAAAAAATTGAGGATGGAGGAGGAAAGCTAACCAGCACTGGTCGCAATAGCCAACGCAGCCCTCCTCGTCAAAATCCACCGTAACCCTTCAACCTCACTCTTCCCATCACTATTCAATGACACGGTGATCTGATAATTCAATTCCTGTATAGCGGTATCAAAGGAACGCTGCAGCTCCCTGGTCGAAATCTTCTGGTCATTGAACATTTCTTTCAAGTCGTCTTTCAGCCCCGCCAATTCCTGCGTCACGAGCTGTGTCAAAATGTCAACCTCGTGCTGTAACTGTACACGCTGTGAACGCTGAGCCTGTATCTCTGCATTACGCGAGGCTTGCAGGGAGTTTCGCAGCTCCGAGCATGCCGCCTGGAAAAGATAGGTCTCGTTCTCCACGTCGGATTTTGATACTAGCCCCTCCCGTGCCATCTCGAAGTTGTCCGCAAGGAGACCGCGTATAGCCTTCATGATGGAAACGGATTGTTCTTCCGTAAACCCAGAGCGACCTAGATCTTTCACTAGACTGTATGTGTCGAAAAGATGTGCGTACGTAAGTGAGGAAGGGTGTGGGAGTTGATGGTGACCATTCGACAGGGTGATTTGAGTCAGGGACTCATCTTGCTGGGATGAGGAAGGATTGGGACCTGGCATTTGAAACACTGAGCTCTGGTTACCCTTCGATGGATTTATGTTTGGATCATCGGTCGCAGGGGCGGAGCCACCAGAAGACCCAGTCCCGTTTTGCACATTGACGCCTCCGGAATCGCCCTGCACAGACAATTCTACTAAAATATTCGTAGATGATGATGACTGTTTTTTTCTAGATCCTGGTTTAGTTCCTTTGCCAGAATCCTTTAGATCCTGAGACCCAGATTCCCTAGACTGCTCCGTCTTCTTTCTTGCTTTGTCTCGAGCCTGCTGCGGCTCCTTGCCTACTACACCTTTCTGGGATCCTACCCGCCCCCCATCCTTTGGTCTTTGGGGTGGTGGAAGTCGTGATTCAGCAGCCTGCCCATAACGTTGGTGAAACGGCTCGACATCACAACGTCTGCTGGTGTGGAATGTCGCATATGAGCCACCATTCTTCTGCAACTGTTGTTGTGGCTGTGAAGGGGGGAATCTTATAGGATGGTAGGTCTTGGGTTCACAGGCCCTTACCGACCGAAACAAATTCGGGTAAAGGAATGGGAGGCGTGGAGCTGCCATACCAGCTCCGCTTTCCAATGCGAGGATAGATATGAGGAGAAACTGGTATGATGTAGAGAGTGAAGACAACGGAAATGTTCAGATTTAGTTGACTAACTTACTGGTCAACAGAGATACGAATGACATAATCAGATAAACTTGAAACAATGTCATGTGATTCAGGCACACCAAGTTACAATACAAACCATTACGTAATGATAGAGTACCACACAACAATACAATGAGAGTATGTATCATTTCATGACAAGGGACATATGTATGTCATTCAAATTTACAGATATAAATGCTATATGGCAGAATATAATATAAAAGTATCAACCCAACAGCCCAAATAGAAGTTGAGTCTGTTTCCAATACTCCTGAGCCCGTTTCTTCATTGTCTCCAACTCAGCGTCCCCATCGAAGTCAACATCCTCGCTAATGAGCCCGATAGTAGACCTGAGTTCATCCTCCTCTTGAGAATCTAGAGCATCCCGCAGAGCTAATGCTTCACTTAGATAGAGCACATCAAAGAGAAGTTGGATTTTGCGGTCTCGCACGACTTCTGGAGAAACATCCGCGACAGGAGCCGAATCACCCGATTCCGTCGTGGTTCCCGTAGCGACTTTGTCGCCGTCCGGAATTTCACCAGTTGGAGGTTGTTCCTGTGTATGGTCTTTGATATCTGAAGAACTACCACTGCCCCCCTTCTCGATAGCTGTGGAGATTCGTGCAGCAAATATTTTATGGAGTCTGATTTTAACCATATCCGCAGCAGCGACGTTCCAGAGATCGGGACCCTGTTGTTTCATCATTGTAACTAATTTCTTTAGCAATTTGAACGCAGCTGGAGATGGTTGGGTGGGGAGCGGCGGGTTGCCTTCCCAAAAAGTGCGGCCAGCACAGCCTACTCCACGACCGTGCTCAACAGCTCGGGTCAAGATAGATGGTGAGAGCTGAGAACCAACTTCATTGGCAAGGATCTCGTGTAGCTTTGGCACAAGGTCGTCAGCGAATAGATGATCCTCGCTGGAAAGTCCGCTGGGGAGATGGCCTCGAAATTCTCTAATGACACGGAGCATGAAAGCGGCTTGTCGGCCTCGATGTAATCCAGCCATATTGGCCAAGGCACTGTGTAGGGATGTCTGAAGCGCCGAGTAGCTCTTTGTCAGCGTAGCTTCGTATTCCTTTTGCAGAAGACTTGGGTCATCTTGTGATAAGATCCCAATAGTGTTCTGCAAAACATCCTCGTCTTCGTCGTCCTCAATGATATCATCCCATCTGATCTTCTGCAGTTCATCAATCATATCCTTACACTCCTCCACACCCGAGAGCCAAGCGTTGTAGGATTCCGATATCTGCAGAACCTTGCTATCCCTGCCTAGGGTTCTGTTAATAATCTCCTGTTTGAATGCAGTGGCACCGGCAGAATAATCAAGAAACGTCACATCATGATTCCAGAGCGATGGCGCAGAGGCTTGCTCTTCCTCATCACTCCAGTTCATAATTGTAGATGAGATTCCATGCCCAAGTAGAGTAAGCCCATTTGCTTGCGCGTGGAGAGTGGTAATGAGTTGCTTGTTCACAGCACCACAGAGGCCCTCAAGTATCTCCAGCGATGAATGGCAGGGAGTCGAGCTCTGAATTGGTAGCCAGATATTCAATAGATTCCGTCGCAAAATCAAAATGTCCTTCAAGTTCTGGGATCGTTCCAAATTCTTGCACATGCCATTGGTCAACTTTCCAAACGCTTCTCTAGACCAATCCTTTATCGTATTCCCAGTCTCCGACTTGGATGGATTGGTATGCTTCACCCACGGAGTAAAGTTTTTGATATCATTGCTGACCCATCGTTTAAATACAACAATTCCCAGGCCATCTAGCTTTCGCACATCAGGATCACTGAGAACGGGGTGAGTGGTTAATTTTCCAAGGGCATCAGAAAGACTTCCGGAAAGCAACTCTGACGTGCGTTGTAGGGTCTGCAAAAACATCTTCAAGCTCTCTTCTATATTAGTGAAACTCGGACTTTCCCTTAGAAGTTCGGATTCAATAGCCTCCAGGCGGACTTGATGAAAGTGGCGAAGTACATCAGTAGAAGAGGAACTCGTCGCAAGGCAATAAGCTGACATTGTCTCAATGATTTCTTGGGTTGAATGGTTGGGAGCAGCTAGCCTGCGGTCGATGCGCTTCAGCAGACTCCTGCGGAGTGAAGCTAGCTGATTTCGCAGGTTTTCGAGGAACACGGGTGCGCAGTTGCTTTGCGAAAGGGTTTTGTGTAGAAGTCGCGATATCACTAAGAGCTTTGCGATCAAGAAGTTCGAGCCATGTTTTCGGAACAGTCTGTAGCTGGTCGATATGCAATTATGGAGGAGGGCGAGTTGCGCAGCGATCGCTCTATCATCGACGCCTAAGTATATGTACGCAAGTTAACTATCCCGGAACTGTAAACACACATATTCGGTAGGTAGCCATGGGATATCAACCTCTATCCAAGTCTCCCGTATCCGATTGCTTCTCTATCAAGCGGGAATTACATCTCCTGCCAATGTCTGATAGCTTTGTCTCGACCTCCTGGATGTCATCATTCATCTCAACGATTGTCTGCGCGGTGCCTAGGAGTTCTCGATATCTCACCCTAAGCACAGGTAGGAATGTAATTAGCAAGACAGATCAACCGCAGCAGTATACGTCACCCCAGCTTACCCGACGAGTGAACGAAGCTTGTCCTTGTTGCTGGCGATGTCGCGCCGGAGTTCCTGCTCCACCCGTCGCACTGTCAGGATGGGATGTTGAAATGCCTCGTGCCATGATTGAAGGCTGTGGGCATCTGGGACATCAGTAGCCATACTTGCTGGCTGTATGCGGTGTAAAGCATCAACCGTCTATTGTTTGAATTCTCATGGCTTCTCATGAAATTGTTTGTCTCCCAAGCGTTTCTTCCAAGGTGGTAAACATGGTCCCCTTAAAGCATCCGCCTGGTCTGTGCACTCACTACCACAACGACCAACTTTATTGTATCATTAACTAACTACTTCATGAACAAAAAGCACAATTCATGCTATTTCATTACTTGTACAAGCATGCTTCCCTTGTTACGCTCGCTACAGCCTGGTATATCACTGATCACATGACAAATAAGGTGAATATCAGCCTGCTGGTAACTGCAACACCTCAATAGAATACCTGAATATGTATAGAGTTTCCCGACCATATTCATAGCTGCAGTGAAGGGGAAATGAAATATTAGAGCTGTCAGCCAGCTATTATATATAAATATAAATTAGATTAATAGTAGTTAGATTATCCTTCTATAATATACATAGTAAATAGAATAGCAATATAAAAATATTTATATCCATAAACTTATAACAAGTGTAAAAATATCAAAAAAGAAATCATAACTCCATAGTTCATTAGCTGGCTGCGAAAGAAAATAAAGAAAAACAGTTTAATATTAAGATATTTACAAAAAATAAATTAAACAAATACCTTCTACTTTGAGATATGAGAAGAAAACACCCGCTTATGCTATCGCACAATCAAGGTAATTGAACAAGGCTGCACATACCCTGCCACTAGAGATCCTAGATTATAGTTAATAAGTCATATCAAAGGATGTTGCCTGTCTTCAGCTGTAAATAAGCATTTACTTGAATAAGAGTGTATTTGGATTTTCACCCAACATTTCAAATGCGGCCTGATACAGAGGGATACCAGGATTGAAATTGGGTCAAACAACTGACAGAAAAGAGACTGACTGCAGAATGTCATAGATGTTGCAATAGCCACAGCTATTGGGTCAATTTTTGATGTCACATGATGTGTAAAACATAACTACGCTCAAAAATTGTTTTTCAATTATAGAGAGATAGAGTGTTTCAGGCGTTTCAATAATCACCATGTATTTATCTATACTGCAGACCTCTCTTTAAAATATTATTATTCCCTTTTCTTGATCTATCTATCTCCAGCTCTACAACTGCAACCTCAGCTCTAGACTAAGTTAGGTTTAGGGCTATTCTTCCTCTCTGCATCATCGCAAAATATGCTTCAAGTTGAGTGTTTGGACTTTGGAGTCTTTTAACTTCTGTGTAGAGAAATACTAAACCTACACTTTCCACATTCTTTCTCAAACGCTGTCACACATCCATCTCGAGTCTTTAAAAGAACGTACAACCATGCTCTCAACAGAGCCAGACTCCACCATAGCGAGGAGCAACGATGATGAAACGCCCCTCCAGATCATCTCCAAGGACCTGCCATTCCCTCCCCTCACCAGGTCGCATGTCCTCCATTGTTCCTATCACTTCTGGCATCCGAAGTATGTTATTCTATTTTACTAATTAATTGTCCCAAACGAGCATTACGCTATTTCAAAGGCTCCGCTAAACACCCCACTCTAGATATCGTGCCGTAACACCCAAAGCCCGCCTCATTCCCCTGACTGATGCATTCATCGACTATCTACGCACAGATGGCATAATGTTGCCTCCACAAGATGACAGATCTGTCATCACTGATGATGATAGCGGCGTCTACTCCGTATCCGACGGATCTGATTCTGACGATGAAGAGGTGGACCCCGCTGCAGAATGGCAAGAGATACATGCTCAGATCAAAGCGACAATTGCAGAATTAGATGGGAAAGTAGCTCCAAAGTTAAATTGGAGTGCTCCCAAAGATGCAACCTGGATCTCTGCGACAAACGACATGCAATGCAGAACTCCAAATGATATATACCTGCTATTAAAGAGCAGCGACTTCATAACTCATGATCTCGAACACGCATTTGATGGATGTGTATCAGAAGAGGAGCAACAAAAGCAACAAGAAAAGACGGAAATCACCACCCAACCCGGTGCCCAGGACTCCCCACCCCGAATCCCCTACCACCTCGTCCTACGCAAATACGTAACACTCAACCCCGCCCTCGAATTCCGCTGCTTCGTCCGAGACAGAAAACTCCTCTGCCTCTGCCAGCGCGATCTAAACCACTTTGACTTCCTCTTCGGCCTTCGCGACAACCTGCGCGACAAAATCCAGACTTTCTTTGACATAAGGCTGCACGACACGTTTCCAGACAGGGATTTTGTCTTTGATGTCTACGTTCCCCCGCCGCATAATCGTGTGTGGCTCATGGATATTAACCCCTGGGCACCACGAACGGATCCACTGCTATTCTCGTGGCTGGAGATTTTGCAGATGAAGGGGCCTGGTTGTGAGGCAGAGGATAAGGAAGGGGTTCCGGAGGAAGAAGTGGTGCGATTAGCCTTAAGACAAAGGGATTCAAGGAATGAGGAGGGGAAAGGAAATGGTCGGAGTAAATTGGAATCTGGAAATAAAGAGGAAGAGGAGGAAAAAGAAGCTAATGGAGAAGGTGATGAAGTTGATGGGGAAGAGGACGAGGATGATATAGACGACACCACCTCCCTCCCCTTCGTTCCCGAATTCCGCCTAGTGGAACGTGACGACCCAGAAGCGTATGGTTTCATGACACCGCGGTATTCGGCGCATAAGTTACCCAGGGAAGTCGTGGATGCATCGAGAAGTGGGCCCGGTGGCATGGGGGAGTTCCTGGGCCAATGGCAGGATATCCTTGCGAAGAAGATACGGGAGGATGATGCAGCGGCGGCTGCAGAGGGTGCTTGAAGTTGGGTGTTTGTGATAACAAAAAATAATGGAAGCGATCTTGCTACTGATCCCCTTCTATATTTTTGTTTTCTTTACCTTTGACCTTTTGCTTTGATACATATTTCGGGCTAGATTAAAAGGCTAAGATGCAGATGCATTGCGAGTCAGGAGTTCAAGGGGTAAATCAAACCGGAGCAGCTTGGGAGGGTGCAGGATTATTATGTCTTCTTCTCATGATCACGGTTCCTCGTTTATTTGGTCTTGCAGGGGTGGATTTTTGATACTACCTAGAGAAGATTTTGAATATTGATTTTAACCACGTAACTCTGAATCACAGTTCAGGGCCGTGGATGCACATTTTTGAGCTGTACACATATGTTTCTCCAGTCTCTCTGTCAACGTGCCTCCTTAAACATACAGCACAGTCCGCAAAATCCACTTAGCTACGTTCATATGTGATAAGATTATACATCCATACTGGCTATGAGTCATCTTTGTATAAACTAGTTAACTAGCTAGTTAATTATCTACATTGTATAATAAATCAACCTTCCTATGAATCTCATATATCAGAATACCCTGTTATCAGCATACCATGCACTCTCTCCTGAATACAACTGTAGAAAAGCAAATCAGAGACAAAACAGCTGTCTAACAAAAGCCAACATCAAGGCAATCATTGAAGGAACCAACAAGAAGTTGAAGTAGCTACAAAAAAGGAGAGGGAGGATTCCACCACAAATCCAATCACAGCTTATGCTTCTTCTGCCCGCTCGCAATCTTCATAAACTCCTGCTGTGGAATCCCGCTCAAAAACCGATCTATCCCCGTAAACACCTCCGCCACATTCTGACGTTGCAAAAGCTCCCTCTCAGGCCGCCTAATCAACTCCTTAATCTTAATCATACTATCTTGATTCAAATGCGTCCCCATCCTCTCCTCAACCTCCTCCAACACCAACTTCAAAAACCCAGCCGCATCCTCCTTGCCCCCCGGCGCCGTGAAAACCTTATTAACATACCCCGTCGAAACCAGATCCTCAATGGGAATCCGCTTGCTCATAATCAGCGCCTCGTTGGCCTTGGAGATTCCCAAGCGCTCGACAAAGGCACGGCTGGCTCCACCTTCCGCCACGAGGCCAAGGGAGGAAAACGGGGTCAGCAGGAAGGTGTGCGGAGCGGCGTAGATGAAGTCTCCAAAGGCGGTTAGGGCTGCGGAGAGGCCGACGGCGGGGCCGTTGAGGGCTACGACGAGGATTTTGGGGTGGTTGGCGAAGGTGAATGTGATGTCTAGGTTGTTTGCGACGAAGTTGCGGAGGAATTGGCGGCGGGCATCGTTGCTGTCGCCGGAGGGGCGGACGGTCTGGACATCGGCGCCGCTGGGGAGGGAAAATGTTAATCGATGGCGAAACAGAGGTGGGTTAGAGACAATTGACTCACGCGGAGAAGAAGCGGCCTGTTCCTGTTAGGACAGTGATGAAGATGTCATCCCGCTGAGCAACTTCGCGCATCTTCTGGCCCAGTTCCCAGTAGTGGTCAACGCCGAGGGCATTGAGCTTTTTGGGTCTATCGAGGGTGATGATGGCTATACGGCCTTGGTAGGTCACCGTGACTTCTTTGGCTGCAGTGCACATGTTTGCAAGTAATTTATTTTGTTTGCTTGGACTATTTTGGCAAAGATATAACAAACTGGACAAGCCAAAAAGCCAGATTGCAGGAGATATATGTTATATCGAAAGGGATAATATCTTTTGTGTTGTGGAGAAGAGTACAGATGTTCCCCGGAAAATATCCACCGCAAAGATAAGGAAGAAGGAAGAAGAGATCAATTAAATAGCCAGAGAATCTTCATAATCAAGATGCAGAGAGGTAGCACATGAACAGATGTATGTGCCGTGCCGCTTGATTAAATGCTTTCTACATAAAGGAGGGGGAATGTAGAAACACCCGCGGTTAAGGGACTGTCTGGCTTGAAAATGTAGCCGAATTTGACCAGCAGATCAGAAGGGGCCAAGATATAACACAAGGGAATAATAATTAGGGGACCAACATGTACACCTCCCTGGGACAAGACATTAACACTGAACATAGAGAACAAGCAAGTCTATCCTCCCTCCAATGCATCCATCCATGGATGGATCTTACGCAGGTATCCCCTGTTCGAGCCAGAAAATGAAGTTGAACAGAGAAAACTCAGTGAAAGTTGCCGAGGTTCAAAGCAGGTTACAGACAGATTAGTCAGCCCGATATTGTAATCACGTGTAAAGAATTATGAATTAAGCCCAATTAGGTTAACCAGTTAGTCAGGACCAATGACTAAGAGATAGCCACGAGAAAACCTCTTTTATCCGTGCAGAAAAAAATAAGAGACCAACTGAAAAGACAACGGAAGCGGAGGAAGAGAGAGGCGCAGATACAGAAATATTTCTGCCAATTGGCCGCAATTCGAGAACCCCCCTCTTCATATCCGTCCGTTCCATCTTTCGGAATTCACTCGTTGCTTTGAATACATCGAACCCGTCCTATCGCTTGAACCCAGTTCGACACTGGTATCTCCTCCTGAGTCCCCCGCAGCACATCGCTTTCGCGGAAGCGAAAAAGACCAATATTTCTGTTCAGAAAAAAAAGGGCCTCTCCTACACTTCACTTTTGAATACATGGGGAAAGTATAGAGGTATAAATGAAAAGAATTACCAGGCAGAAAGACCAGAAGGAAAGAAATAGAAGAACATATCAATCCACCTTCTACAACAAAATCCAAGACTACTGCAAAAGGAATATATAGCGAGATACGAACAAAGAAAGATACATGAGAGGAACCCCCGCGCATCTCTACTAATCAACAATGCTCAGCGCCATCCTCCGCAGGCTCCAAGGCGGGAACCTGGAAGTCTTCAAGGTATAAAACTATTATCACCTTCCCTCCCTTGCTACCACTCCCCCCCCCCCCCCCCCCAAAAAAAAAAAAAAAAAAAAAAAAAAAAAAAAAAAAAAATTAGGGTAAATTTGAAAACCCGCTAAGCCACCCACCTGCCCGCTCCAGTTCGGCATCTATATCCTTTTCCCCATCGGCTGCATGTACTACTTCGGCACAAACCTCGAAGAACGCTTCTCCGTCCCCGGCTACTGGCCCACGAAGGAGCAATCGCATAAGATTCCAATGGAGCTAGAGGAGATTGAGAAGGAATTGGCACGCATGAATAAGCAGAAGGCGCTGAGGAGAGCGCAGCTGAAAGGGGAGAATGCCGAGAGCCAGAGTGGAAGTGGGAGTGGGAGTGGGAGTGGGAGTGCCGAGGCGGGTTCATGAGATGGATGTTGGAAACAACTGGGATGGTTGTATGTGGACGTTGTTTATGGGGTGTTTTAACTGGAGATCGGTAACATCTTTGCTCCTTCAATTCTCTTTCGTTATATATATATAAATGGATGTGAGGATGCAATTGTTAAATCGTGGATCTTAATTTGGCATGGGATTGAGGAGTTGAGGAGTTTGAGATAGGATTTAATTCTTGTTCTTTTTTCTGTTTTCCATTTTAGGGGTTTGCCATATTGTGAATAGATCTGTAGAGCCACTCCAGAAAAATTGAAAAAGACATAAAGCTTTCCCCCCCCCCCCCCAAAAAAAAACCCCAACCCGCAAATCAAACCCCTGCCCTCAAATTTAAAAAATTCAATCCCCACCAACCAAGAAAAACATCCATCATCACAGCTCCCCCACCGCCCTCCCCGCCGCTGCCGTCGCAGCCCTTGCCACATTTTTCGCAGTCTCCATTAACCCGTCATACCCCTTCTGCTGCGTAGCGGACAGGACAGATTTGCCAGTTGTGGAGGCAACAGCGGCGGTGACAGCGGCAGTGACGTTTGCGAAGGGGGGGTCTGTGAAGGTGTCTCCGGCCCAGTAGTACCAGATGCGCTTGCTGATGGTTGCGACGTGGTTGGGAAGGTAGACGTAGGCGGCTGTGAGGAGCATGGAGGTTATGAGGAGGAGGAGGGTATCTGTTGTTTACAATTGCGGCAATGGTTGCAGCCGCGGTTGTTAATTAGGGGAAATGTGGATTTGAGGAGCTGTGTGATATTAGAGGGTGAGGGGAGGATATAGGCGTACTGAAGATGAATTTCTCTGTCGGGGTAAGCATGTACAGGGCGACGGTGACTTCATATTGGTAGTTTTTCAGCCGGAGCCAGCGTAGGAAAGAGGAGATGATTGAGGGAGAGGTGGTTTGGGACATGGTTGCTGATGTGTTAATATAGATGGAGATGTTGAAGTAGAGGTAGAGGTAGAGGTAGATGTGCGGTTGGTACGGCTTGTTTTAGTAGGCTTGGTCAATGTCAGTCACAGGCTGGAATGGCGCATTTCATCGGATATCAATTAAGATTATCGAGATATTCAGATACCGCAAGTCGGCGGTAAGGGAGTCCGCTGTCAGAGAGTCAAATGGTAGGTAAATCACTTAGATGTTGGACTATGCCAAAACGCTAAAGCAAACACGGCAACTGAAACGAGTGTCGTATCGCAAGTATATATTTAAACTATGTTACTGTTGGCCTCTTTGCAAGTGAGGTTCTGGTTGGAAAGGTTGTTTAAAGATGGGAGAATTGCGTAGGGTTAAACCAGATAAAAAATAATTCCGCCGCATTAAGTTCATATTTTTCCTTGGGACGAGGCTTAACCAACGGTCAGATAAAAAACCTCGTTAAAGTTAGGAGGCAAATAAACAATATACCTCACTTCTGGAACATCATCCTTCAAACTGTAACTAACTCACTCTACGTCATCAGCTTTAGGTTCTCCTTCTGATCATTCAACAGTCGTTCCCCCCATCCAATCAAATTGCTGTCGTCCTCGTCCACATCCCGCATATGACATCCCCTCCGGCTTAACCATGTTTCTCCTCCGCGCAGGCATACCTCTGCGGAGGACAAAGCAACCATGGCAACAAGTACACTACTCTGTGAGATTCTTCTCGCATTGCCATCAGCTATCTGTGAAGCAAATGCCACCACGCCCAAAGCTTAATCCTGCTGAAGTTACTGGCACCTATCTCAAGGGATCGGGCCCCGGGGGTCAGGCTATTGTTAGTACTTCACCTTTTTTTTTTTTAAACAAAAACAAAACAAAAAAAAAAAAAAAAAAAAAAAAAAAAAAAAAAAAAGCCGAATTGCGTCCCTGTTCTTGTCCTGTTCTGTTGGTCTCGTTTGAGAGGTCGGTTTGAGGAGTTTTGTATGCATCTATGGATGGGATGGAAAATGATTGATCTATATTCCGATTACAATTCAATTGTCTCTCTTAAACTACCTTTACGCGTTATTCTACCCATAAGTTTCATTTAGATTGACAAGGTCCTTTCTCTTTGTTATGTTTCTTTGTTATGTTTCCTTTTTATTTGCCGTCTTTTCCTTGGTCCACTGTTCTAAGTGTCATTATTTACGGTGCAATTGGATGCTGCTGGACGCTTTGATATCTTACTGGGAGACCCTCCCATGGTACCCAACCACTCTACGTCTATCGCTCTCTGCAATGCAGAGATACAAAGCATCTTGTGCAAACGGGTCCTAGACGGATTCCATTAGTCATTGACTACTCTAGGAATCATGGATAATGGCACTTGCTAAAGGACCTCCTGTTCAGCCCTCAGAAGTTCTCTCATCATCCACCAAGCCAAAAGAGATGCCTTACATCAATTCTTCCTTCCACTTCCCCCTTCCCAAACCCATTCGCATTTGACGAATCCCCATTTTGCAAATCCCTACCTCTCTGCAAGTGTATCCTTGCTAATTTCTAACAACCCAAACCCAGAACAAAACCAACTCCGCCGTCCAGCTCATCCACAAACCAACCGGAATCGTCGTCAAATCCCAGGCGACGCGCTCGCGCACCCAGAACCAGAAAATAGCCATGGGTATCCTGGCAGAGAAAGTCGAGCTTCATCTAAAAGGCGATAAGAGTCGGGCGGCTATCGTGGCTGAGACGAAGAAGAAGAGGAAGGCCAGGAGTGTTAAGAAGGCTCGGAGGAAGTATAGGAAGTTGGAGGAGGAGAAGAGGAGGAGGAAGAAGGAGTTAGGGATGGAAAGGGAGGGGGGTGGGTTAGAGGGAGTAGAAGAGGTAGAAGCGATAGAGACGAAAGCTGAAAGGAAATGACAAGAAAAGGAGATGGTGGGGGAGTATCAAGTGGTTGGGAAGCGCGGAAGAGGGGAGGGGAAAAAAAGGTACTGATAACGCGGACGAGCAGCGGTGATTTTAAGATTTGAACTTAACTAGTTGATGCTCGCCTATGGAATAGATTATTTCCTTCTCTTTGGTTTTTGAAGATTTCCATGGCGTCCGCGGGTCTAGGTAAGGCGCAATAACAATCAATAGAACCTTTGGCGATAATTCTCTTATATGGTCTTTCACATCTTCCTTGATAGCCGCTGTCCGGCCCAATGTTGAAATTTATCAGCTGATTGATCCAACCCTCTGTTGCAGGTGGCCAATCAACAACATCAAATAGTTACTTAGGAGGTGACACTGTTCCCTTGAAATGTTTGATCCATCGAGTGGAACCTTGCTAATATGAGGCATCTACACAGTATTAGAAATAAAGAATGATATAGCCAAAGGTTCAAAGGCCTAGAGCGTGATTTGATAGCGGACATGTGCCTGCTGAGCCTTCTGAGGGCCTTTTATCTAACGATCCGGTAGGCCATGATCACTAGCTACTCCGCTAACAATAACTAACTGAATGCCTGGAGTAAGTCGACTTTCAAATCTCTCCAATTCTCCAAACCAACACTAACCCTCAACAGCCTCCTATTAACTGTCGAATCCGACATTGCACGCCACTCAATCGGAGATTCCACTCCTCCGAGGCTAGTTGCATGATGAAAATACATGAGCTTACTGGGTAACTTCCGAGCAAAGTCGTCACTGCACATAATGATAGAAATCACAGGCCCATAATCCATTCGGCATCTTTTCAATAAGCAAGTTTCATTCTAGAGACTGGCGTCATATATCTTGTCAACAGCGGGCCTGTATAACAAACTCATCACTTTCAAAAGCGGTTCGTGGTAGTGCCGGTCCCTTCAAAGCCCTATGGAGCCGTGAAACCAATTTCGCACTGCACACCACGGACTTCCAACGTCCGCAGACTCCAGACACCAAGCCAACCTTTCAGATTCCCCAGGACATTTCCAACAGTCGCCCGATCCTCAAAAAAAAAAAAAGCCGTTTCACTCATTCCGCATTCCCAATGGCGGGAACCCCACATAGAAGATCTCAGTGAACCTCCGAAATATTTTGACCCAGAATGGATGATGATATCAGCAACTCATAGGAATGGGTCTTGCAATCCTGGCGGCGCAAACGTGCTGTCTACAATGAGATATGTACCCCTCTGGTAGGCGACCTTGGAATATTTCTCGATGTTGTATGCTCCACCTCGTGGATTAACGGGGGTTTCGAGCAGGATCACATCCCCTTTTCTAGGTTCAGCAGGGAAGTCAAAATCCAGCTTCTGAAGTCCTGAAAGACGGGAAATGACAGCGATCACTTCATTACTGCCGTCGTGTTATCCTTCACCAGCAGACACATGGCGCGGGGTTTCAGGAGTGATATTGCGGCCTGGAGAGCTGCTATGCCGCTGGAATAGCAAACTGCAGGTGAATTTAGGTGAGAGGAGAAGATTGCTTCAAACCTTCTCGTGTTCGGTGCAATATCTCGGGAATATATATATTTTTTCCTGTCGAAATCTCCCGGGAATTAGGAAGGATGGCAACATCAGTTTGCCGGTGTTTCTGTTTCATGTTTACTAATTCATAACACAGGAGCTAGAATCACATACTATGGCATCTGATCCTCTCTGGGGGTCAAGCAATTCGGGTCACTGGGCTATCTGAACGTGGTGGACAAGTGAATTGGAGGTGTGACACTTCCAGAGCGAAAAGCATGCAAGCAAAAGTAAGGGAAAGTGACTTGAGCAAGACCATAATGAACTCGGGCATCATACGTCATAAATATACTCATTTCAGGGCGCGTTTTAGCGTCCATTCTGACAGTCCCACCTCCGCTTGGTAACAACCTTATTAAACACCTGGGCAGCGATTTACCGACCCTCCATGATGTCCTAATGCCTATCGACTAGATTAAAACACATGAACCTCTACCATACAGAAGAATCTTGTTTCAAATATCGATAAAAAGAAAACATTAGGTCACATGAAGGCTTTCTGTTTCACCTCATCAGCTATCTCTCCGCAGCCCCTCATTGTTACCCCTCACTCACTAATCTAATCTATATAAGACCCCATCAACCCCTCCCACCAGAACAAATATCGTGCTGGACTTCTACCTCCCTATCCAAATTTCACCTAGAGAAATCAAAATAACTAAAACTCCCCAAACCAAACGCATACAAATACACGTTTAAAATACAATGAATCCCGTCGACTCTCACAACTCGACCTGCCCAAGTTGCGGCGTCATCTTTGATGGCGGTGCCAAGACCTGCGAGGCATGCGGTGCGGTATGTTTGTTATATTTTCAGTTTTATTTATTTATTAATTTTATTTTAATTTGATGGTCTTGGATTATTTTCGCACGTTCATACCTAACGGGATCATATACTAGTCATGCCCTATTACATAACGACATATATAATTCATGTTTAGCCCCTTACCGCGTTCAACCGTTGGGCGGGGGTTATGTAGCTGTTTGGTAAAAACAGGGAGCACATGGGGTTAGAGAAGGGGTTCAGGAAGACCGGGAAGATTTTCAGGGATGTGGCCATATAGGGGCATGGACGCTCGTTTCTTATGAGTGGTTATGCGGATGTTTTGTTATCTTTCACAGCTGGTGAGGGAGACAATTAATCACTGTATCTGGTTGTTTTAATACATGATATTAGTGGGTTGCTGGCGACGATAATTGAGCTCTATACGTGATAATTTTCAGGAGAAGAATCAGTAGTTCCTGTCAGCTTCAGGATGCCTCATCAATATCACATATCATTAGATTCTGTACTTTCGAGGCTCAGACAGCAAAATGAAAATCTAAATGTACTGTACGTTCGCACAAGACCAATATAGTAATATTACCCCATGCATTCATACATCCAAGCAGCTCCGTAAGTCAATTCTCCACACCACCTTAAAATTCACCCACTAAGCAACGCCTCCAACCCGGCCTTCGCCTCAGGACTAAGCCTCTCCTCTGCAAATGCCGAAATCCTCCCGCCATGCTTCTTATCCG